GCTATTTAGTACATGGAATTACTGAAAGTGTACAACAAAACTAGATTGCGTGGACTTGTTCAAGGGAATTGTAATATCTAGTGTTCTCAATCATTTAACATTCATTTGTTTTGTTATTTCTATTTTATAGGGTGTACGTTTTACTATAGACTTCATTCATTTCACATCTCCTTTGTATATCACGCTCTCGTTCACTCCAGATTATCGTGTAAAACATATAAGCTAGTTGATTATTTGTGCTTGAAATGGAATCGCCAGTGAAAACTATAGTCTTATATATAATACCAACTGTATTATAATTTGTAGGCAAAACAATCAGAACTATATATACGACTCCTGGACATTTTTTATCCGTGCGTATGGCCAAACTGTGGTGGAGGAATATCACACATTTCCGTCACACATCTCGGCGTCTATCTAGATTCTTACAATTATGAAAGGATTGTTGTTACTCTTGTTAGCACTGAAAACTATTATGGATGCCTGCACTGTTGAATAATTGGGTCTAATATTCATGTACCGGATAATTTTCTTAAAAAAGTATCCGAAACCTTTTTAGACATCTTGGGAAACGCAAACGTACCTATGAATGGCTAAGGGAAAACTTTTCCAGCCCACCACTGACTAATCCACCATACCACAAGTTAGCTCCGGACATGTAATCTAGCTCAGCCGAGCATGTTACACAACGACCTCGTTAACAGATCGAATTTGAAGGGTGGTTGGCAACGCACGCTAAAACAATTCTTTAAAATGCCTTATAGATTACCAGTGAAGGTGATTTGTTTAGATGGCCACAGTCCATTCAATTTGGAAGGCGAATCGTGTGACCTTCTGACCTATGTCAAAGTTTCATCTGACTATTTGTGCTTAATAAGGATCACTCTTTCTTGGTATTCAGGTGCTTTTGATATTTTGACGACCATATAGAATAAACATGATGTGGTTGAGGTAATATTGTAGCAAAAATAAGTCGGAGCAACATAGTGCGATCGTTTCTATATGAGTTAGTCCATGGCATGCAATTAGTCTATCCACACAGGTTGTCCTTCATTTTGGAGAGGCTGAATGGCCGGTTCAATGTTCAGTGACTTGTTTGGTGGTCAAATTGGTTAGCGCTTAGTGACACTTTATTGGTTCTACAGTTTTATCTAACAACAGGAAGCTATACCTTTCGACACTCTGTTTCTCCGTGACATGTTACATACAATCACTTCTAAATTACAGTTTGTCATCAGAGCTTATGTCAATTTGTTATCAAAACCCTGCTTCTAATTATTAGTCTTAGCTTACAACCCCCAAGCTCGGTTTCTCACTAGCTTGTAACTTTATCTAGGTCATATTGAGTGTCTGACCTTTCTCAAGGACATTTCAGCGTCTCTTGAAGGTCAGTCATCTCGGAATTCATCCACTTTATGAGTGGAGAAATGCTCATTCGGCAGTGGCTTTTATCTAAATTCTCATCGTCTGTTATTACTAACATGTGCTATCATTTCTGTTAGGATTCTATTTATTTTAGCCGGTTACCATAAAAGCCGATTTACTTGATTACCATGACAGGATAAGGCGAATTAGGTACCAATCATGAGGTGTGACCATTTCCGTCTATCTGGATTATACTTTGGTATCCTAATTGGAGACTGACAAATATATTGGACGTTGAGTGGACCGAATAAGGATTTCATAGTCCTAGAGTCTGAGAAGATGTAAAGCGTGTGGTGTGGTCTACTTATATCTATATAAGTAGTATATGGTGTGGGTCAGACATAGAATGTATTTTCGCAGAAGACCGATGAGGAAAGAACTGAAATGAAGCGCAATCGTTTGGAAAATGCATGAGCAATGGAATAAGAGAAGAAACAGTGAAGATAGAAACAATTGGTTGTTAATTTGCAAATTGACTGTTCATTGTTTGGTAACCAGAATTTACTGAGATAGTCTGTAATGTTTGCTTAAATACATTCGATTGTCCCCAACTAGTGTTTTGCTCACTACAAGCGTACTTAATTCCGCGTAAACGTTTAGTATGTGTGCAGAATGAATAAACATATTCATTTCATGAGTTTCTTTCGGTGTTCTATTTAAAATGTTTGAGGACTTACGTAGGAGGCAATTTTCGCGTAAACTGGACCTATATCATGTTATCTAAACCAATCATGTGAGGTTCCTTATACTGTATTGACGTAATGACCGATGTAGAAGCTTAAATTTAATTATCAGCTTGAAACCTACCAAAGCTTATTCAAGGCTGCTTTAGATGGAATATACATCACTGTGTGAATTAATTCTGAACCCGACCGATCTTTATAGTCTTGTTTGTGAAAAATAGCTGCGTTCCTTCAACTTTCAGCTTGCCACAGAAGGTCCGAAATATCAAGAATTAAATAGCTCTGCGCTGAGCTGTAAGATGTTCAAAACTCCAAATTTTTCTAACTGTTGGGAGACGAAATATGTATCCCATATCAGTCAGTTATATCGGGTGTAATCAATTAGACTGACAATCTTTTAATACGGTAGCCGCCGTAATTCTAAATCTTAAGTAAGACGAAAACGAATCAGTTGTATTAAACTTTAGAGATACCCAAGAAATGACGGCACTTCCGATGTTATGAACTGCATTATGATTATATGGCGACTGAATCAAAAGAGAAATAAGATATGTGTAGAGACATACAACAATAGATGAAATGACACACTGTTATGACAAAAATGCACTGAACGCAGTTCATCTGAATAGGCAAAAGGAGTATAAGTTTCAAACTGCATCTTGGTCGCCAATATCTGTTAATACGAGGCTACATCAAATCCTCTAGTATTTCTCGCGTCTTCCATGGACCTTCCGGACTTTTATTGATCCTGATGTGATCGATCTGGTTCTTTGAAGTGTGGTCCGGTGAAGCATACATAACTTTGAGCACGCGTTTGCAGATTTATGGTATCAGCTATAGCCATGTTTTTGAAAGACTTGAGATCTATAAGTCTATGATCATGATCGTTCATTTCTCCAAGTCAATGTTCCCCCAGGATGTCCCCATATTCGATGTTATCCTTTTGAATATGGTGTTTCATTCTCTCCTCATGATGGTCAGGTCCTTACCTGAGCATTCTTTTACAACTGACTGCAGCCTCTCATAAGACAGATCTTTATCATACTAATTTCGATCATAATTGAACGCGCTGAGCTGGATTTCATTCATTATGATCCCCCCCTTTGTTTTGAAGGATGCTGTAGCGATCCTGGATCCGTGAAATTCCCATCCTATAAGTTTTTTGAGTCCTTCGTCGTAGAGAATCAGAGCAGTCTCCTGAGTATGTGTAGCATTTTTTTCTTCATGACCAGAGTACATCAAAACTTGTCCCGAATCTATGCTTTTTTGTCCAGTCTGGGTTCAATAGGTTTCACTGATTCCGAGAACTGCCAAATTGTGTCTCCTCATTTCCATAACTATTTGATTGGTCCTTCCGGTCTCCTACATTGTTCGAACATTGCATTTACTTATGTCGATTATTGCTCTGTTTGTTAGAAGGGACATAGGCCTCATGACTCCCGAAGAATATCGAGTCTCAATATGAGGCGTCATAACCCTTCTAAATGAAGAACCTTTAACTCCCAGGTCAAAGTCCAAGTAGTTTAAACTATTTTTTCTGGTTGTCGTTTTTTAGCAAGGTTATTTTCCACAAGATATAGTCGGTGACCCTATACCTGATCCTCCTCCTCTGTCTGGGTATGAGACCATCAGTAACTTGGGATTCACTGCAGAAGACATCCGTAAACTAAGCAGCAATCAGAATATTGTTCTGTCTTTAAAGGCTTACTGAGACTTGCGATATTGTTTCTACATTGTTCAATGTTCGTCTCCTTGAAATAAACTGTCAAAAAATGCTGCAGTTACATCAATAATAACTCTAAAGATCTTTCGAACACTAGAGAATCAAAAAAATATTGGAATCAGAACGCAGTGCAATATCCTGAAAACGAACAGAGTTAGTGATAGTGATCTTGGGGGGTCATGTATTCAATCATAAGTAGTTGCCAATGTTTGTTAGACTACACGAAAAAGGAGAAGTATCTTACGTGAGCTGCCTTGGAAAATTGCACCGATTTTTAACCAGGCCTTCTCGGCATGTGGAGTTCTTTGAAAATGGAAGAGTTAGCTCCAGTGTCTGACCATCATAAAGATGCTTGTTTCCAGTAGCCGCTTTACGTCACAACACAAGCAGTGGAGCTGGTGAGAACTGTCTAACTAATGGTCAGGACATTTCTGCTAATTTTCAGCAGATGTTATTGTCTCCATGTGTCACAGGGTCCAAGAAACTTAGGTATTATCTAACCTCTTATTAGTATGAGCAAGGAGTCTTCTTTTAAGAAATTTAAAGTAATTAGTCCCTTTGATAAATTTCGACGGTGTAGTAAAAAGACGAAGATTATCCGAAGTATTTGATATATTAGCGCAGTACACTTCGAACGATCTGATCACATATATACTTGTTCAGAACATTTATATATTAAAATAAAAGGTCAACTAGTCTGCAAATGAGAGGTAAGTGGAGACAAGGATAACAATGATAATAAAAATAATGTGAAAACAATTTGAGACCTTATCACTCTGGATAATAAGCTATTGTTACCGGGGTAGGTTCAAGGTGAAATTTAGGTATTATCGTAAAGGTATGATGGATTGATTAGAAAATGTCCACATTATAGTGGAGGGATGTGGATATAATGTCGTACATACCGCAATCTATCGAATCCTAAAGTGTTCATATGGAATATTTTACTCTTTCAATCGGATCGAAATCCCAAGTAACGAATCGGGAATGGAGCGCGCTTTTTTATTACCGAGACTACAACCTTTTTATGACTAAGATAACCTTTTATAGAACTAGAAATGAATGGAATGTCAACATTGTGCATTTTCATTAAATTGTATGGTTTCATAACTTTGTGTGACTTGTGAGCACATTAATTTGAAGTTAGTCCCACATCTGTTTTCAATTTGTTTATATACTTATCAGTCAAGTGACCCTGGTACAAATCAAATGGTTTGCGCGCGCGCGTTGCTTGATCCTGTCGGAGTTACATCTATGGCTTCAGACAAAAATGTAGAGCAAGGGGATCATATCATTGTTTCGGAATTTTGTCATCTGTTAGAAAAGTCGAAACAATTATTTAACGGGTTACGGTACGGTTATCAATGTTATAAGATACCATTAGCTTCAATTATTATAGTCACTTCTGTTTAGTTTGATGTGTTTGTATCTGATTTCACATGATTCAAAGCAAGGTTAAAGTTATAGCTGCTTTATCAGATTATGAATAGTTCATAGGTGAGTTTATAGGCGAACTCGCATATCTAGACCAAAACTATCAACCAAGTGGACTAGGAAATACTACTGAGAAATTAGTCAGCTTACATATAACATACTCTGTAAATACGTTATCTAAATTGTATAAATACTGGTTGATAGTCGCTTTCATCGAATAGCTTATGGGCAATCTCATTGTCGATCGTTTATGAAAAAACGAAGTTCACAGAAAGTCTTTTTTCATTCTGTTTATATTTTTTTAAAATCCTGTCACACAGTGAAGACATATTGGCGAGTCAGTTATTTATGGATAACCTTTGAGCAACGCTAAAACAACCTTAAAAATGTCTGCTTACCAGGTTTAAATAAGGTTTGTAAATAAGTGTGTGGATTCGGGATTAAGATTTACAGTCGTACGTTAGGGTTAGAAATTGAGGCGAAGCTATGATTTATGGACAAATCAACCAAATATAAGTTAACAGGTCGTAGATTTTGGCGTGAAATTCATTTATTCATTTGGCTAAATAGCACTCTGGCATCTAAGCTAGTGTCAGTTCGTGATGAAAAATCTTGATCTAGTTCCCGATCCTAATCAATAATTGTAAATCATGATTTTAATTTCTTGCACTACTCTTTAACTTTCATATTTAGAAATGGTTTGTGGGTGGATATTTCTGAGGTCGGTTTAGCGTCTGTCAAGCGTCTTCCATAAATGATAGTCTCACCGGAGTTAGATTTGGTATTATCATCACAGTGACAAGCTATAATGCTAAAATGCTTTCTAGTCAAGTGGATGACAGGGTCGCGCTTCGAAATCCAAAGCCTGTTATCTTAAATTTAATTGTTTCGTTTCTAGATTATAGTTTCGTTTTTTTGCTTAAAGCTAGTTAAGTCTGTAATTGACAGTCTCAAGACTATTTGTTACTAAAACTAGTTGGGTTTTCAATGGTTCCCGAATTTTTTAAAGTCGGAGGTTGGCACTGTTTTTGGGCTGTTTTTCCACGTAAAATTTACCAAAGGATATGTGCGTTAGGGACTTTTTCCTAGCCTATGTGACAACTCAGTTGTATACCTAACATGCTCGACGTACCTAGTTGTTTGAAGTTTACTTTTGTTCTCTAGCATAATTTCTCTATGCTGGTATGCTTACTTGCTTAATACTAAGTCAACATTGCTAATTTCTACATATTTCCTACAAGTTGTATGTATGGGCACACAGTCAAACCAAAATAATGACTTGTATGGTCATAAAATGTCGTTTTCTAGTCATGTGAATAAATCTAAATTCTAGTCCAGCATTTCAGTGTATTTATGAAGCGTAAGGTGAAAATAATCTATACGAAAACTGATCATCTTGTAGATATATCGTTACTGACTAAACATTTGTATTAGCTTAGCATATTCACAAAAACAATATTCTTGAGAAGCATTGATGACTTCCTAAACTTTATTTATTGAAATACTGATACAAAGAGGCACCAGATACATATTCGCCTCACAAATCTCATTTGATTTGTGTGAGGGCTGTGATACTGCCCAAGTGCCCAAACTGAAGCAGGTGGTTTTCTCAGGGGGTCACACCCAGAGCTTTTGACATAAAGGTCTCATCCACAAGGTAGTAGAGCATCGTGAGGAGAAGCAGTTCCATGGTAGCCAGTGACCAACGATTGATTCATACTCCATTTTTTCCTTCAAAATACTGGAGCCCATATGCACCATTGGTTTGGAATCAGGGTTTTCCAACTACCCTAGGTAGACTTTCCGCGTCCACCAACCCGGTTAGAGCGCCGGACATTTGCTTTTCGTCCTCTCGATTTCGTAAACGATAGTAATGCTACGAGAAGGCAGTGAGTAGGAATTCCCTGGTAGAGGTTATGTTGGGGATGTCAAATCCCCAGAACTTACTTGGTAAATGGCTTAGTTTTGTAATTTTATTTTGAAAATTTGAATTTAGCTGTTTCCGCGCCAAACGCGCTCTTTTTACCTTCACGTCATATCTCCCACTTGTAAACTGTCTTAAACGCTATTGGTCTATTGTTTCTTTGTGTGTGCTATTTACCAGTGATGCTCAAGGACAAATTGTTGTTGTATAAATGCGCTTGACTTTTTCCCTTATTTGATTGCTTGTACTCGGCTGCTTACGGAATACATATATATTCCCCTACTTGCCTTGGACTTCTTCATCTAGTTAGCGGGGCCTGGGACAACCGATTAGAATAGCTTATCGTGTCATTGTGTCATTAGCTTTCGTTCGTTACCGCGGAATCGATTTAGTGTCAAGCATAACAGGTTATATACGCGTGGCCATGTGAAAGCCTTGGGAGAGGGAGAGCGGACTCTGTCCACTCTCGGCCATACCAGGGCATTTTGGGGCTGTTCACAGTTTTATAATATACCCTTGTGGGCCAGGGTAATTTTGCACTGGGTTTCAGGAGAACAAGACACCATCCAGACTTTCACGTGGTACGGCCGAGAATGGGGAGAGTCCGTTCCCTCCCTCCAGTTGCTCTCGCATGGCCACGCGTATATAACCTCTACCAGGGAAGTCCTACTCACTGCCTTCTCGTAGCATTACTGTCGTTTACGAAATCGAGAGGACGAAAAGCAAATGTCCGGCGCTCTAACCGGGTTGGTGGACGCGGAAAGTCTACCTAGGGTAGTTGGAAAACCCTGATTCCAAACCAATGGTGCATATGGGCTCCAGTATTTTGAAGGAAAAAATGGAGTATGAATCAATCGTTGGTCACTGGCTACCATGGAACTGCTTCTCTTCACGATGCTCTACTACCTTGTGGATGAGACCTTTATGTTAAAAGCTCTGGGTGTGACCCCCTGAGAAAACCACCTGCTTCAGTTTGGGCACTTGGGCAGTATCACAGCCCTCACACAAATCAAATGAGATTTGTGAGGCGCATATGTATCTGGTGCCTCCTTGTACCAATACTTATGTGTTTCAATAATAAAAATAAATAAATACTTTATTCAAAGCTAATTGTCTTATCTAGTTATATCATGAAATTTTAATTATCTAGTTGGAATTTCGACGTTTCATTTTCACATTAAGGAATCCAAATGAAAGTCATTACATGTCTGTCATAGTGTAGTCGATTTAAATATCCCATAAAAGTTCACTTTTCTTGTAAGGATCTTACAGTAGATACAGACTATTTGTTTTAATAAAGCTAAAAGTTCAAAGTAACTTGTTTGGGAATTTTTTTATCTCAACCTCTCATACATTTAAGGCTTACTTGGATTACTTTCATTTTTCCCCTGCGGGATCATGTCTTAAGGACGTAGTTAGAATCTCTATTTTTGTCTCAATAAATGTCCCCTTTGTGTTACTGTATATAATGTTTTCATTAATCTTAGTTACTTTCCAACATTATTGTAATTCATTCACATGGTATGCTCATGGTGTCCATTTTACCTCAGGGGTATGACATGGGTCGTACTACTTTTCATGGGAATATAATAGTTTCTAATAGGGGATGACTGACATCCTGTTTGGTGCCCATATATTTCTCATTTTTCCTTTAGTCCCCAGTTAGTTTAAAAACGTGAGATATAACTCACCATTCAAGTTCTCATGTAGCCAGTGAATATAGACGATAAAAGGTGTTTTAAACATTGCTTTCCAAATAGAAACTCTGATTCTTATAAATGTACTCACTGTAAATCACAATGAGTCTGAACTATTGTAGTATAAAACCTTTTATTTGTGATTGTTATGCTATGTTCGCACTTGCTAGGTTCATGATATTTACATATGAGGTAGTAATGCCAATACGATCGAACTGTATATGATGAACAATTCTTAGAACATTAATATTTTTAACCTAAATTTTATATAGTGACTTGCCTCAACATGGTCACAGACAGTGGAAAGTTTATTTTGGCCGTACGTTCGATGTATACACAAAGTTATGGAAGTTCCAACAACAACATAGACAAAAATTAGACGAACTGTATGGACTCAAACGGTGGCAGATCGGCGAGGTCGCCTCAAAAATCGGCCAGTTATACCATCATTATTAGTAAGTTCTTATCACTTACTGAACTTCTAATTTTTACTAGTTTACGCACTAGTGACCTACACTATCTAAATGAATCGTTTGCTTTCTTCTCAGCAATTCGAACTCGGGATTATTACTCCAAAGCCAATAAGGAAGAGAAGCCTGATCTAATGATTAAGAAACTGCGTTATTATGCTCGTTTTATACTAGTATGTCTTCTTCTAGGGAAAATGAAATTGGCAAATGAATTAATAAGAGTATGTTATTTATTTAATTTAACTGTCAAATTTAGGAATTTTCTAAGCAAGTGGATGAGTATATCGATATTTATGACGCTGATGATCATTTGGGATGGGTTACAGTGATACAAGAAATGAAAGATTTCGTGGACGGTAACTCGATTTGCGAAATTATTGACTGTGATACACCGCAAATTTACACATCAAGACGATTAAACGCTCTGAATACTCCACAAATAGACAGACATGAATTGGGTCATCTACAGCTATCTGAAGTACTAATCGTTGGAAATTGCTACGATCAAATCCGCTTTAGTGAGTTATCATTAGATATGTACCGTATGCTACAAACATTCGAACGTGATCCTAGAGGTCAGGTTTTTAACAGCCGAAATTCTAGACTCAGTGTAGCAGATGGTTTGGAAAATGGTGTTTCCTCAAGTTATCCTCTTGATTTACCCGAAGTGACAAATCCTCATAAGTATTTATTATACAAACCTACGTTTTCACAGTTCAACTCATATGTTGCTACGGCATTCAAAGACCTACCTGCTTCCGGTGCACTATTATTATACATATCAGCGGATGGTGTTCGGGCTCCCACTGTAAAAACCAACAATGAATGTAAGAATTACTGTATGATTTCTTGATATAATTTTAATTGTTTACTTTTTTATGCAGTAAACTTCGCCATAATACCATGAGCATGATTTTTCAATTTATATTTTTTAAGCATCTTTTATGACATCGGAAACTTAGTAGTAGTAGTACATTACTAATTTATCATTGTCCATAAAAACTGTCATTTTAACAAAATGTATTTGTAATTTTAAAAGAGCTGATACTCCCGATGAAATAAATGTGTCAAGTAGGCAGATGGGTTACTACCTGTGTTTACATGTATTTTTGTTTACTGCTCAAAAATACATGTCAACTTAGTATTACAAATGTCAAGCATAATATTTAATAAAATATGAAACTTCATTTAGCCACTAATGTGTATCGTTTGTTCCAATGTTTGGGTCACTTTGAAAATAGATTAACGTATTTCACTCCAAATTGTGCGAAATCTATTAAGTTTTCTAAATTTCGTTATTCAGTTAATTTATGTTTGCAAGGTTTATTGATGACAATTCATCCTACATTCAGTTGGTGCATTCTAAGTTATGTTAATTGCTGATCCTGTATTAACTAACCGACAGTTGTTGCTACCTTGACGTGGTGGTCGGGCTTGCCTATCGTAATGAACCAATGAAGCTATGCTGGGTGGGACAATCGTTCCTCAGGTCGGTTAAAGAGCGGTAAGACTGAAAGCAGCAAACCCAAGGTCTGAGGGCGAAGTTGTACTGCTGACTGTACAGAGGTGTGACAGCAGTAAGGTGTTTCCTTCAGACAACCAGCATGACAGCGATGCTGCCTTCCCACAAAGGAAGGGTGGGGTTAGAGAAGGTCGACTCTGGAAGTACACACCTCGCCTTATCTCACTGATATCCATCTCCAGTGGTAAGGTCTCAACAAGTACGGGGCTAACACTAAAATATTCGTGTGTGACCGAACTCAAGCAGTTGTTCCTTGGGCACTGCGGTCACGCTCTCAGGTCACTAAAACCGCTTCTAACCCAATTTCCTTTTCAGGTACCTCTAGAAGAATCCTGCCACAGCGTGGGCACCGGGAAGTGATAACAGCCCTCAGTTTTAACTTATATTACATTCTCATCACTGGATAAATGTCCATTCTTTATGTTTCATTAAAAGGATTTGTGAGCAATTATATTTATATATTGGTACTGAATGAAGAGATCTACTGATGTGCTTAAACGTCTTGACAATATTAAAATGAATAAATTAATTTATTCGCTGATGTACCTTTCATAAAGTTAACTTCACTTAAATGATGTTTTATTTACTTATTTGAACACATAAATATTGGTACAAGGAAGCACCAAATACATATGCGCCGCACAAATCTCATTTAATTTGTGTGAGGGCTGTGATACTGTCCAAGTGCCCAAACTGAAGCAGGTGGTTTTCTCAGGGGTCACACCTGTAGCCTTTGACCTAAAGGTCTCATCCACAAGGCAGTGAAGCATCGTGATGATGTTTAGTGATTTTTCTTGAGATTTTTTATCACCGAATAACAACATCACATCATTGAATCTAGTCAGTTGTTACTTCCATTCTGTGATAACTACCTTCAAAATGTTTAAAACTTTCTACTTTAAGTAACTGTGCTGTACTAAATGTATTATTCTATATTATCCATTATCGAATAGATGCATCAAAGTTTCTCTGTATTTGAAGTACAATTTCCCAGTGTAATCTATGGAAATTCATTACGAATGACCTTGACCCTAGTAGTAGTTATATTCTGATTATCAACTAGTTAACTACAATTTAAAAATAACTTATTCCTTTCAATCTCTGCTTTGAACATTCATCATTTACTGATTGTTTTGTTGAAATGTAACAAATCTGATTACTTGTAACATAGTAAGTGATTATTATGTATGGTATATGAGGTCAGAATTATCTCGTAGTTATTGAAATTTGAATATCTATACAAAATTCACTTTCATGAAAATGTTTTGTTGGGTGGCTATTAAGGTGTAAGTCAATGTTGTGTGTGTGTGTAAAATAATGTTTATCAACAAGCTTTTTGTTGAACTGTATGTATCTTTTTATTAGGTGTATTTTGTTCCACTGTATTTTATTCTCCAGATAAATGTACATTAATATTTTTAAATCTTTTCTCAAACTGGTCTTGATAAGTCAAAGTGTTATTTATCAGCTTATTCTTTCTTTTTTTTTGTAAACCGAACTAGTCATCGGCCTAACTGTCTATCGTGGTATGATGTGATGTTTTATATTTTGTTCAAATCGACTTGTTACTATGCCCTTATTGTGTATTAGTCACTAAGGTGGCAACCAAATGACTAAGGTCATGTAGTGTACTCTGCATATTGGCTTTAGTTCAATCTGGAAATAGTGTCAGTTGCTATGGTGAAGAACATGAACATAATTCATTTCAGTTACTATGGGGATTAATGTTAATCATATATATTAGCAGTTAAGGCATGGATACACAATCGATTAGACTTATTCTTGACCAGCTTATGTTGCATTTTTATGAGTGATGATTATATTAATGACACTAAGCATTTGTTTAGTGCGTGTGTGTAGATTTTCTCGAGAATTTTGCGCATAACTAGATTTCTTTTTATATTTTGCATACAGTGAATGTAGGAGCGGCTGGTTACGATTATGGAGGAGTTGTTACAAACAACCGACATGAACAAGAATACAGCGCCAAGCCAAAAAGAGTAGATTTCAAAGAACCGCATTGGTAAAGTTTTTTGGATTATTTTTCCCCATTATTTACATTTCATCCTGGAAATTGCTATATTTTTAGTAGTGGAATGTTTCATATACAAATTGTATATTCCCACAAGACTGTTAAAAACACTAATTTAAATATTTAGGTAGATCTAAGCTAGACCACCAGTGAAAACCTGAAAACACACCACGGCTGTTTCGTCTTAGTATGGGACTCCTCAACAGTTCTAGTGAGAAGCGATGACTAATGTAGTCCGATCCGTGTGGGGTGTGAGACAGTTATCCACCTCAGGCAACGGATGAAGGGTTGCGCAAGATCATGGACTGAATAAAGTTATTCAATTATGTATTGAAAGTGTGGGTTTATTTCTGATTAAACTGGTGGGATAAGTCCCATGAATAGATGATGAAGAGTTGTTAATAATCAACACTTGGTTTTAAATGAACTAGATTTTTTTGGTAAAAAAACTTGGTTTATTCATTTATTTTTTTATTTTCTCATACGCAGCATTCATCCTGGTGATCTTCTACCCTACACACGTAGACCTCTGTTTGTTATTGTTGACAGTGATAATAGTGCAACATTTCGGGTAAGAAGTTTGTTCTTTTACATGTTTATTTTTATTGATGTATGGAAGAGATGGGGTCAATAATACTACTTTTAGCACTTTAACTGATTAATTATAGCTGATGCACACCTTTTTTGAAAACAAAGTTACTTTAAAACTCATAAATTAGTTCGATTTTTCTTACTAGGTGTGATTATGTCAGTACAAGTGAGAGCAGCCTTTCACTGTTGTTACTCACTACTGTACTGTAGTGAACACAATATTAATATTATTTCAGTCGTTAAGTCCACTTCGTTCCCATCACTGTAAGTTGTTGAAGTCTTCATGTGATTGGTAAATACTTATTGGACATAGATGTAAAAAGTACGGTCACTGTATAACGTACACAGCTGTCAGATTATTCAATTTTTTGTAACGTTACCAAATTTTTAAAGAGAATCGGAGTCACTTGTGATTATGTCTTTCAGGTAAGCCTTAATAACGACATTTGAAACGATATTATTTAATCGTATGGTCATTAAATACGAATTTATGTAAGATCTCGGTAGTTTTACTGGGTTAAATGCAGGGGTTTTGAAGCTAACAACTAAGTTTATTTAATAAAATTGCAATATGCTGTCACGAAAGCTGGTGGGTGGCCTATGATCCTCCACGAGGGGTAACAAGTGTAAGTAAGTCACGAAAGCATTGGGTATATGTGGTATGTTTCAAATAGACCTTTGTGAGTGTATTCGCTTATCTTACATAGTCCTATTTGGTGCTTCACAGTGTAATATAGTTGGGTGATATATAATTGCCGTTCTTATGAACTGTGTGATGATGAGCAAACTTGTTAGTTATAAGTTACTCACTATAAACTTTCGTATGTATTTATGTTGTTGTTTACTCTTTTTTTTAGAGTATTCCGAATCTCTTTGGACAACCCTTCGTATGTCTTCTTTCACCTAAAGTTATCCCGGAAAAATTGGAAAGTCAACGACATCGAGGAAATCTGTTCACATTATTCTTACATTGTCCATTAACTGCATTTTGTCTAACGTGTAATTTAACTAAAATTACCCTAAAAACATGGGATCGAGCACAAAGCATTATAGACTCTTTCCTCACCGAATGCTATCAAGTTCTGATGCGTTCACGAAGCTTAGGTATGCACTTTTATCCGCTTATGTTTGTTATCTAGTATTCTTAATTTTGCTGCTATATCGCCTTTGAAATTCAAGTTTCGTTCCAGTATTCTAGTTTTTTCGGGGGAGGGAAATTGATTCTCACAACTGTTTTGATCATCAAAATTCCTTCATCACATTAATCTGTGGTAGATTCACGTAAATCCTCGAAAATACTCATTTGGAACCACTTGGAATTTTCGATTATGTCATTAATCTTATAGGCTGATTAGATATACCGTATGATATTTAGGAACATTTTTCCTCATTATAAGTGATAAAAACACTATTGGTATTGGAATCTATTTTCTTCATACAATCATCTTGAATACCATAGGTTTCGAATGGCGTCGTTTTAATGCGTATCTAGTGAGATATCATTAGAAAACAGCATGCAACTAAATTGATCTTAGCTAAAGTAACCAATTTACTGTGTACTGTTGTTAAGACAAACTTCCCAAAGCATGAAAGTTGAATATTATGCAGTTATTTGTGAAAATAGATCCTATGTGTTTTATGAAACCTTTTTAGATGGAATATTATTGAAATAGTTGATCTACTAAATAACATTTGAATGTATGAACTGTTAAACTACTGTTCTGAATAGTGAATAAGTTAAATTAATTCTGTAGATAGGTGGAGTAAGTTTCAAACAATGAATATGATTTCTCTCATAATATTCTTCTAATCATCGTTGGAGGACCAAAGGAGATTTTATTGTCTTAAACTAACTCTTAAATTGAAATATTAACGTTTATCAAAAGAACACTAACATTTAACAGCACCGATAATTAACGTAGAGTTTTCATTTACCCGATGTGGAATGCAGTATTTGAACTTCATTGAACAATACACAAACATTTACATGATCTCTATATCATTCTAATGGTTATTATTATCTCATATATCTGTTTATGGCGTATTGCTAACACTAATCGTGTCTTTCATTCCAATAATAACATAATTTAAAACCTTTCTTATCCATTATTTCATGTATTCTTTTTTTCGATATTTTTAAACCTGCTTGTAGATTATTCTTACCAACAGTTCCTTTCGGATGATTTCCTTCGAATAATAATACTACGATATTGTTTCTGTAATATTGTTCTACAACTTCATCGAAGTTTTCATGGACCATCTTTTTATCCGTCCTGTTCCCCTTCACTTCCAGGATCCGAATTGATTGATTGTCGTGTATTGCACAAATTGATTACTGAGTTAGCATCACTTTTCGACTGTCGAGCACTTTTTGCTACTGCAGGTAACGTTCAAGGTCTTTTTTGTTGTTGTAGTCAGTATTACTTGATTGTAAAAATGTTATTGATAAAGACCAGTTATTATAGGGTGTAGGTATTCAATGCGCATAACTGTTGATATTTCAACCTAATGATTTTTAACTATCAGGTTAAAGTCTATACAAACTTTAACTGGGTGTTTTAACAGCTGAAATGATGAACACTGTGATCATATTTAGGGATTTCACATAATTTTCATCTTTGATTCACCCACTGTTATTTATATTTTTTTTTAGTCTGAAAACGGTCTTTTGAGCACAATTCATAAAGAAGGCTGTAGATATTTTATTTTTGCCCGAAAAATGCTCTAATTCGTTTGCATCCATTTTGTGATTGGTTCATAAAATTTTCGTCTATGCGTAGACATATTTACAACTTTTAACTATTAACTTTATTAAGTATACTTTTACTGAGTGTCGTTTTATTATACGATTGAGAGTTCTTAAAAATTCATCAGTTTAACGAAAAGTTTAGAAGGCTTCTGATGTGAAAATGTAATTAACTACATCGAACGAAGATAACCACATTATATTACTAACTGGATAGGTGTGAACAGTTCCAAAATTAAGATCGTAGTAACGTGCTTATCTTGGCTAACAGTATATATATATATACCGTCCGAGTGTCATTGTCTGTCCATCTTTATGTTTTGAATTTCACAAGTGTTAATCATAGCTGTTTCACATAGTCACGATTCGTAGCTGAGCTACCTTCAGCTGTTTTCTTGACTCCGTAAATGCGCTTGCTTATCGTGATAATACAACTGAGCTCTACTGGTCTCAGTTTACACTATGCATGTTAACTAATTGGTATCAGGCCAATCAGTTTCAAATCTGAACATAAAGTCATATTTTCAATTCCACCAGTATTTGACTACAGTAAATCACTTTTTACCAGTTGATACTACCTTTCCATGATTAATAAGAGTTATAAGGCATTGGTTTTCCCTGATGATGATTATTGTGAAGAGGTTTGAAACTAATGCTAGAAAAATAATAACTCACAGAAATTATGTAGCGGGATTCAAGCAGTCGCCGTCCCTTGAGGTATATGATTCCATTTTTATTTCCACTTTGCAAGCATCTTGAAAGTGTTAATCTCTTGCACACGTGTGGCAGCTCCAGTTTACCAGAATACATCACTCTATCCTTATATATATATATATATATATATATATATATATATATATATATATATATATATATATATATATATATATATATATAGTATTTAATTTTGTATTCAATTTTCTCATATTTCTTGCAGATGACTACACCAAAGATTGAAAGAATCGAAGCAATCTCAGATTATTATTCAATACATTTTCAAAATATTTGCCTTTATAACTTATTTCTTGTCTTTACTACTACTACTACTACTACTACTACTACTACTACTACTACTACTACTACTATTTTGTCACTATAGTTATTGGTGTTGATATGACAATTTAATCTCATCGAAAGGATACACAACCTTACAATTTATTTATTGTTCAATCCATTTAGTAATATATAAGTCATCTTATTATTAGTTATTGTTACCAACTATGTTTACCATTACTTCATACTATAATTCATCTCAGTTATGTAACAATGTTCATCCTGCTTGTCACAAGATCAAAACAACACATACAAAAGATATGCATTTTTGTAGAAAATAAGATTATAATTCATCTTTTGTTTTCATTTTTCTATTAGAAATCAAATAAAACAAGACCAAAGTTTTTAATGTGAATTTATGAATTTTGTAAAAAATAACTTCATAGACATCGTTTCTTTTTCTGTACACAAACACGCACACATACATATACACACACAAAAAAAGAACTGAGATTATGATATTTGTTTTTCTTTCATTTCGATCTGTCGGGTTATTCAAGACTGAATAAGCCTACATTAATTTATTAGTTGAAGTCCAAATGCTTTGTTATTTAATGGTTGATGATGTGTTTGATGGTCTACTGGCCCCGGCTGCACAACTAAGATACTCAACCCATCTGCAAAATATTAAATTATAAAAAGACAGTTACAACAATAACAATTGGACTTGATATTAAAGTTACTAGGTACATTTACAATTTTCTTGAATACTATTGACGTAATCAAAACATTATCAGTCGGCTTTTATGCTTTTTACTTTACTCTTATTCTAGCCGCAATCATCGTCTCAATACTTCATGGCCATGTTCTATTCGTAGTGGTTTTTCTCACCATACATGTTAAAATATCAATCAATAAGGTATTATTAATTCTGTCGAAGATGATGTAGGCCTCTTCAGTGTATAGACCTGAATCTTGTACCCTGTCTAAGGTCCAGAGTAGATCCTATGGAAAATGCATGTTTAACATATAGATTTTTCAAAATCTATAATAAGTCGAAGTACAGACAAGATTTATCTAGTTGCCCCTGATATGTTTTGATTGCACCTGCTTACTTCATTGATGACTTGATTTATTTTATAAAACTGTTCTTAAATTTCCTGTAGTAAAAACTTCAATCTGTGAACTAAGTTGTGCATTTCTTTCGATACCCATTCTTTGTTTTATGTGCATGGTGGTTGTTATCCCATCATTCTAGCCGGCTCCGCATAGAACTCAACCGAAGTCATTGTCTGTATTACTGTCATTACGAACATTTTGGAATGAAAATATCAAACCAGTTTAATTAGGATTTTATACTTTGCTAGCAGTACCTAACTATATGCCTCCTACCGTGTGGAAACATTGTTATATTGAGTTACTGTAGTGTTAGTATTCAGTCAGCTCAAACATTTGTGAAGATGGTTAACATAAACTTCTATAAATAATTTTTTGTTATTCACACTTTATTATTCCACTTACTCTGTGAAATCATTGTTATTGACTACAAAACCGTCGTTTAAATTTAGCCGTAAGCTTCTTTAATAAACCCTTCTCGTTTGCATGATACACTTATTGTTGTTGATTCTATGAAAATAAAGTTTGTTAATTAGCGGTGTATCTTGAGAACAACAATAAGTGTGTCATGCAGACGAGAAGGGTTTATTAAAGAAGTTTACGGCTAAATTTAAACGACGGTTTTGTAGTCAATAACAATGATTTCACAGAGTAAGTGGAATAATAAAGTGTGAATAACAAAAAATTATTTATAGAAGTTTATGTTAACCATCTTCACAAATGTTTGAGCTGACTGAATACTAACACTACAGTAACTCAATATAACAATGTTTCCACACGGTAGGAGGCATATAGTTAGGTACTGCTAGCAAAGTATAAAATCCTAATTAAACTGGTTTGATATTTTCATTCCAAAATGTTCGTAATGACAGTAATACAGACAATGACTTCGGTTGAGTTCTATGCGGAGCCGGCTAGAATGATGGGATAACAACCACCATGCACATAAAACAAAGAATGGGTATCGAAAGAAATGCACAACTTAGTTCACAGATTGAAGTTTTTACTACAGGAAATTTAAGAACAGTTTTATAAAATAAATCAAGTCATCAATGAAGTAAGCAGGTGCAATCAAAACATATCAGGGGCAACTAGATAAATCTTGTCTGTACTTCGACTTATTATAGATTTTGAAAAATCTATATGTTAAACATGCATTTTCCATAGGATCTACTCTGGACCTTAGACAGGGTACAAGATTCAGGTCTATACACTGAAGAGGCCTACATCATCTTCGACAGAATTAATAATACCTTATTGATTGATATTTTAACATGTATGGTGAGAAAAACCACTACGAATAGAACATGGCCATGAAGTATTGAGACGATGATTGCGGCTAGAATAAGAGTAAAGTAAAAAGCATAAAAGCCGACTGATAATGTTTTGATTACGTCAATAGTATTCAAGAAAATTGTAAATGTACCTAGTAACTTTAATATCAAGTCCAAACGACGGTTTTGTAGTCAATAACAATGATTTCACAGAATAAGTGGAATAATAAAGTGTGAATAACAAAGATTCTTTGCAAAATAAGTCTACATTAACCGTTTCCATATATTTAATTCTAATAATAAACACATCTAATACGTCAGTCAGTTACAACGTAGAACTTCGTACGTACGTACATCAGTTCGAGTTGCCATACCACATTAGCACAGAGATGAAGTTGTCGATTCAAATCCCATATTGGTAGAAGTAGTAAGAATATAAGTATTATGTGAAAGATAAGGGTTTGAAGATATTATTGAAGGAGCATAATACGGTGAAATGAATTTGGAAAGAGAAGGATACGGACATGAATTCAGAAGATTAGAATTTGGTAGAACACAAAGAGTGTATGCACCTTCGCCATGGCCCAGTCTATTTGTCAGCGACTTCATTGATTTATGCTACGTTTCGGCCTGGCCTCTCCTAGCCTTCTTCCAACCTGCTCCTACACCATAAAGCATTTCACGTCGGGGCAGTCGGTGGTTGGGCATACGTAAGATATAGTATTACAAAGTGCAGAACGTTTCCTACCGCAGTAATCAAGAAATTTGTGATGTACAAATTAAGCTTACCTTTCGAACGAATGACGTGTTTCTCCGCGGAAAAAGTACACGTGATTTTTGAATTGCATTTTGAGCACATTATCTCGTCGGATTTGATCTTCAGGTCCAGGTTTACTTATGGTATAACCCAGCAGTGGTAAACTAGCCAATGGACATTCATCACGATAACTTTTATAAAAGAAAAGACATAATTGAGTAAAAACCACCCATAGTCGTTGCCAGCCGTTGCTGTTCTTAAATTTTCTCAATAGATATCCACTAGTTTGGTACTGAAAAAAAGTAATAATTATTTTATTTAATTTATGAGCACCCGTATGAGCAAAATTACGTTCTGTATTCATGTGAAACTGTTTAGACATAAACCTCAAGATCATTTGACTACTTAACCGGCACTAGACCATGATATTCCTTTCACTTCAGTTCTTTAAGTATAGCGAAGTAAACATTTTGTGCTGTACGATAGACATAATTCGCCCGTCCCGATGGATTTGTTAGTAAGCTATAAAATCGTATATTTAGATAGTCTATTACGTCATGTTTATTCATACTTCCTCGCAGAATTAATCCTTATCGTTCTATATAAATGTCCGGTTGTACATGTTGATAATAGATTCGTTGATAACAGATTCTTTAGCTGCATTCCATGTTTTTAATGTTTAAACGAGCTATAATTCTTCTTGCTACAAACTGTTCATCAGTGAACGAGTATGTGACTGCGTCGTGTATAAGATAGATGATACATGGACACTTCACATTTGCGGAGAAAATTCACTTTAGATAGTTGGAAACCATCAGTTAGGAGGCGTGGTTTAGGTTGTCTGTTGGTATCCATCACCAGGGCGTACCCACGATCATAGGGTAGCTGACGTCACTCTGCCTAATACTGTGGTCATAAACCTCAACACTGAAGTATCGGTGTTGAAACTGACATTAATGTTAACCAATGTCGTACTGTCTACCCATCGACAGTAAACCGCTTTGTGTGTTGCAGAGCCCGATGCTTTGTTTAACTAATGATTGTGATGCATTTGATAAACAAGCACTTAAATTAGTATCCTTAGTCTGGTAAATGATATAAAGATTTATGTGAGGAAAAGTGTATCTGAAATGATGTAAACTATTTTTCCCTAAAACATCATAGATATCCGCTTAAATCTTGAAGACCAATAAGAAAATTAAATGTCAATAGATTTGTATCTCTGTTAAATAAGCTAACTTCAAAGTATTTTTCGCCATGGACTGGCTGACTAAGGATGTATGTCGAAGACACATAAAATAAATAGGCAAAGAAAATGCGGACAATGTTTTCTACAGCTAAATTTTAGAACACTCAAATGTGTTCATCACAGATATTTCCAGAGGTTTTATTCATCATTCTTGGCTTAAGATTTTTTCAGTCAGTCACAATGTAGATCCTGGTAGATATGTAAAACGGTTAAATTTAGCACAGAGGGATGAAATTGTCAGACCATATCCCAGAATAATAGAGATGCTAACTGTATCAGTGGTATTCTTTAACAGTAATATCGATATCTATAACCAAGTTATGTACTGGGACCGGGTCTTTATATTTCGTAGTGAACAGGTTGCTACCATTTAAATCACTGACGTGGAATCCATTAATTAAAATTATCCAACTTTAGTTGACTAATGATAATGTTTAGGTGTCATATTCAATGTCGTCAGTGAGTTCCTGTGGATTTCCAATTACGACTTTGAACAATCTACTCTGCAGTGTAATGATCGTTCAGTGACATCAGCGGTATTCGTCTCATTTTATAGATGGTCGAACCCAACTAATCATATCTTCTCACTAGAACGAAGAGGATGCTTTTAGAAGCTAATTTTTTAACTGATATCAATTTGTTTTTGAATATTAACTTTAAATGAGAATTAATGATGTAACTTATTTGCCGATTACATATTCATAAGTTCAATTTTAAACCACAATATTTGTATGAAAGTTAGTAATGCTACCCGGTTGCTTAGTGATCTAGTTGGAATAGAATTCGAACCTGCAATGCGTTAGCTGAAAGTCTAGTGTTATTCAAATATTGCCTCACTATTCCAATAAATAAGGATTATTCACAACAGATGATTAATTAGAAAGCTAATAAAGTTTGAAAAAAATGTTAGTAAAAGTACATTTCAACGTAAAAACAATTGGTATTCTGATATTATAAATCAAACTTAATACTATAAAGCAGAAAAAATTAGCTTACTTCATTAGCACGTAGTATGTCTTGCATTGAAAGTGTGAAACATCTATGCCAACAGACATGAACACTTGTTACAGCTCGTTGTAACATTTGTGTGGAGTCAGTTTCAAAAGTGTCTGTAGAAGATAAAAATATTCATAGGGATAAATTATATTAAATGAATAGATTAATATCTGCTTCATTCGAATTACAGGTGACAGTTAGTATTGTAAATAACAAATTGCCAGACACTGTAGTTACAACTTGTGTCGCTTCTGTTGATGAAACTGCTCAATCTTATATTTTACTGATTACTTGTTTTGCATTTACCTAAAACTTTATCTGGAAGATGATTATGTTTTGTTAAGCATTTTGTTATAACTTCACACTTTGTATAACAGCATGACTTGTACAATATTCCATAAATCTCTAAGTTTTGTCAATCATTTTCTGCTTTTGAAGGTGTAAATATTCATTACGAGGACACGACGCTCTTTTTAGTTTTTATATAGTCTGATTGCATTGTGATGAGATATGAAAAATATTAACTTGAGATGTAGTTCACTGCTTTCATACATAATTATAGCAACGAATTTGTTTTAAAATCAATAAATACCCTCAAATGCCCTGATACGGACGAGAGTGGGCAGAGTCCGCACTCCCTCTCGAAATGTTCTCACATGGCCACGCGAATATAAACCCTCTGTCAGGGAAGTCCTACTCACTGCCTTCTCGTACCACAGGTGTTGATTATGAAATTGAGAGGACGAAAAGCAAATGTCCTGAGCTTTAACCGAGTTGGTGAACACGGAGGGTCCACCTTAGGGAGTTGGAAAACCCTGATTCCAAACCAATGGTGCACATTGGCTCCAGTATCCTGAGGGAACAAATGGCGTATGAATCAATCGTTGGTCATCGGCTACCGTGGGACTGCATCTCCTTACGATGTTCCACTGCCTTGTGGATGAGATCTTTAGGTCAAAGGTTCTGGGTGTGACCTCCTGAGAAAACCACCTGCTTCAGTTTAGGCACCTGGGTAGTATTACAGCCCTCACACAAATGAAAGAAGATTTGTGTGGCGCATACATATCTGATTCCCCCCTTGTACCAATATTCATGTGTTTAAATAAATAAACAAATAAATGCTTATTTATTTTGTATACGATCACTCTTTTACTACAACTGATTAGTCATAATTTAGTTTCTATCATTCGAGCTCAGTACCCAATTCAATCATTTAGAAATAAACTATTAATTATTCAAGAAGAGGTTTTGTGGAGATTTAGTATTTATTATAGTTGAAAGCGTGAGTCAATTGAAGCTAGACCACCATGGAAAACCTGGAAACACTGGACGGCCGTTTCGTCCTATTATGGGACTCCTCAGCGGTGCGCATCCACGAACCCGCTCTCAACTATAATAAATACTAAATCTCCACAAAACCCCTTCTATAATTAATATAATAATAAGCTCACTAGTGACTTCGAGAAGTATATCTAGGAGCTCTAGTGAGAAGCAGTGACCAGTGGAGTTCAAAACCACGTCTGTTGTGAGATAGGAACTCACTGAAGACAATTGGTGAATGGTTGCTCAACTTCGTGGATCAGTTGAAGTTAGACATTAACACCGTTGGATGCCAGCTCAGTGGTCTATCGGTTAAGGGCTTCGGCTCGAGACTGGTAGGTCCTGGGTTCGAACCTTGCGAGAGCGGGATCGTGGATGCGCACTGCCGAGGAGTTCCATGATAGGACGAAACGGCCGTCCAGTGTTTCCAGGTTTTCCATGGTGGTCTAGCTTCAATTGACTCACGCTTTCGACTATATTAATTATTCGTCATTCACTCACATTTATTAGTATGGAACTTCTTTAGATAATCGCTTTTGACTTATCATATTTATTTAGTTGATATGTTAGTGACATCATTTTGTTGTAATAGTAACTTGTCATTTTGCAACTTAAGGTTTTTGATTGCGCCCTTTTGTACACTCCATTATTGAAGTAAACTTTATTATATTCATCTTGGCAACATAGAATTTTAAGGCTTAAATCCTTTAACAAATAAACTTGATGACGTAATAATAATGAATCAAGCTTGTGTACAGCTATAAATACTAAGCAATGCTACGTAAATTTATCATTATTATTATTAAGGAACCACCAAAATACTTTATCTCTATGCTACTATGTTTGACTGACAGATAAGAGACGAAGTTATAAAATGTTGAAGGAGAAGATCATAGTCACTGTTCTTTTTTTCTACATACGAATAGTTTGGTTTTATAAATATTCATGTGTTATACATAATGCATATTGTTCAGTGATATACATTACTATGTGTAGTTTATTGTTCATAATAGGTTTTTTCTTTAGAGATTTTCTTTCGAATAAATCGTTTTTAATGCTGATGGGCGGCCTATGCTCCTCCATGAGAGGTAACAGGCGTAAGTAAGTAAGTTACTACTCTTGTTAAAATTAGTTAATTACATAAACGTACATTCATTTAATTTAAACAAAATCCCAACTATTATGTCCAAATTTTAGTTCAGACATAAATCGATCCGTAATGGATTTTAATCTCAGTCTCAGTTGTGTAGTTTATTGCCTAATTTAAATTGTATGTTGCTTTTATTATCTGGACATGTGGTTGATCGACCACTAATAAGTAATCAGAAATATACAAGCATACGAACATATGGATGAGCATATATATCAGTATACAATAAGATGTATATCTTCTAAACCAACATAGGGGATAAATCAATCAGACGAGTAAATTCACTTCAAAACTAATTTAAATTGAGGACTGATAAGACTGTTGAATAAGTTCAAAAAAGATCACATGTATACATTTGTATACACATATAATTACACATGAATGTCATCATGACAAACATACAAATCCTAGTAACTATAAGAATTAACAGAACTGGGAAGAAAAAAAGGAAGCCGATTTGATCTTAATCATTTTAAACCAATAACAAAGGAAAAAATAACAAAGATTGAGTAAGAATAGGGAAAAACAGTGAGGTGAGATGAACTTTGATCGCTTTCGATTGGATGCATATGGTGTCAGTCTTATCATATTCTATTATTGCCTTCAGATGACTCATTCATTTTACAAATTAATTTTATTGAATTTTATTATTAAAAATATCAATATATTTCGTCTAGTCAGTAACAAATAATGTTGTATGTGGATTACTAAGCTATGCGGTTCATCATTTAAGGTTTACAACACCCTATGAATATAATTAAACAACGATTAAAGGCCAGGCAGCAACTAGAGGTCTACTTTATTCTAATATCCAATTCATTAATAGTGTATTGCCATGACAACATATCAAGGGTTGGATAAACGAACTTAGATTTTAGCTCAATGATATAGAAGTATTCTGTTTACCGCATAACTCTACATGATGTTATATCTAGTCGAATACGATGTTGTGAGAAGTAAATTACTGAGAACACCACAAAACAGTAGGAAACAACTACCCAACTTTCTTCAGATCCCAATGGTTTTCCAACTGATGTCAGTTTGTGATGATAAGAACCAACTTAAAAGATGAGATCTTCACAATCCTCTTATTTAGATTACATAACTGTTTCTTGGTATCAGTATATGAGTTTTATGGAGATTGTTGAATTTTATAATTCGCATCATTTGTCGACCTTAGATAAGCATTGGAAACTAGCGAGCACTGGAAGCCTACTTCGTCCTAGTATGAGAATCCTCACCGATAGGAAGTCGAGATCAGTGGAGTTCAACCGTGTCGAGTATTGGGCAGTTACCAATGAAACTGGAATATGGTTGGGTAACTGATAGGAGTTGAAAATGTGAACCATTTAGTGGTGACATAGTGATTCAGACAAACAATAAGCACTCATCATGAGGCTTGAAGGTCCTGGGTCCTATCCTTGATGGGGTCATGAATACAGGCTGTTAAGGAGTCTTATATTAGGATGTAACTGCTGTCCAGTTCCTCCCGTTTTCTTATTAATGGTCTTAATATTCTCACAACAAACCAGACTAATTCTGTCTGAATTGCCTATTTCTATTTTTATCTACTTGATTATTTTATTTTTTAAATATCGTTTATGCTAATTTTACATGTGATTATATTTTTTCTGTCGTCACAGCAACTGAAATAGGTTAGAAACAATACATAATAAGATATTAGCAATAAATAATACATCACTTTCTATCAATTCGAACTGGTAGATTTTCCTCGTTAGTTAAAATACATTTTTTGAGAGATAATCATCTATGTAGTGGTGAGTATTGTTAAGAAAACCCATGTACTTAAGGTCACAACAACTAACTATTCACTGGTTATTTGACTAAAATGAGTCAATAAATGTAAAGTATGCGTCATTCAACTGAGCAACCTGCCCACAAAACTTCCATCTATACACCACTTTACTTTTTGTTTGTCAATACACTACGTCTGAATAATTTGTATATAAAAAACCAAACAACTTGAATACGGTTAATGTTTGAGGTTGAATGGGAAGACTTCATTCACAGAAAAAAAGTTGAAAAATCAACAATCTTTAGACCATAACGACTAGTGGTTGATCCAAAAGATTCAGTAGTAAAGGCAACTCACTATACAAGTACAGATTGATTATATTCGACTGTGAGTCATTTATTGTGTCGATGTGTGCGTGTGTGTTTCTAAATAAGGACTAGTAATACTGTTCGGTTGAAGAAATTGATTGAAGTAGAGTATTAGGTGGAAGCTCACTACTGAATTTTTAAAAGTGGGAAATATCATAACTGTTGAAGCTGATACTACTTCACAGCACATCCATTACTTAATAACCAGGTATCAGTTTCATTTCAATCCTATATAATGAAGTATTTTAAATAAGCAGTGACTTTATTGATTGTGATCATAATGAGATTATCTTTACAATAAGTTGTGGGTGCTTTTCAACATACACAAGGGAAAAAGTAAGATACTAAAATACAATACAGCCAGCAATAACCCAGTCACACTTGATGGAGAAGCTCTCGAAGAGGTCGAAACCTCTATGCATTTGGATAGGATCATTGATAAACAAGGAGGAGCTGATCTGGATGTAAAGGCATGGATTGGAAAATTAAGGGCAGCATTCCTACAGTTGAAGAACGTATGGAACTCAAAACAACTGTCAGACAACATCAATGTCATAATTTTTAATACAAATGTCAAGACAGTTCTATTGTACTGGGCTGAAACTTGAAGAACTACTACAAACATCATCAAAAACGTACAAGTATTTATAAACAGTTGTTTACGCAAGATACTCTATATCCGTTGGTCAGATAACATCGACAACCTACTATGGGAGAGAGCAAGCCAGCTACCAGCTAAAGAGGAAATCAGAAAGAGACATTGCAGGTGGATAGGACACACATTTCAAAAATCATCAAAGTGCATCACAAAGCAAACTTTAACTGGGAACCCTGAAGACAAAAAGGGAATAGGCAGACTAAATAACACATTAAGCTAGGAATTGTAGGTAGACATTGGAAGAACGAGTAGCACTTGACGAAACTTGAAAGAAGGCTCCAGGACGGAGTAGGTCGGAGATTTCTGGTCGGTGGTCTATGGTACGCGAGAGGTAACAGGCTTAAATAAGTTGTTTACACAATTGAAAGCATACAGAGATGATTGTCATTATGATCATTATTTTTCCATTTAGTCAACTCGAAGTATTTTGAATTGTTATAATTGGACAAACAAATACACTGAGTTATTTCCAAGTGAAATATCATTATTAGTTTTATACACACGCAACTTCGTAGTAGGAGTTCTATGTCATAATTTTAGCTGAAAAGCATTTATTATTAAAGTAAGCAATGAAAAGAAAGGGAAAAAGAACTGGTTACAGTTTGAAAGTGTATACAATTCATTTGTTTGACATGATAATTGTTGCGATGACTCATTAACAAGTAGAATAATGAAACAAATATTCAGCTAACTGAATAGTTTTTAAAAAAGACTAGACTTATAGTGGAATATTATTTATTTTCCCAAGTGACATCAGTAGAATATTGATATGTCTTCAATGAAAAACGAATGAACGTTAATTTTTAGCGTATTTGGAGGAGTTTTGTGGAAGTCGGTTTAGTTAGGTGGTGTTGTTCACCACGGACTGTCTGTATATCTGGTACCGATGAAAATCAGGGATCACAGGGAAGTATATGACTTCTAAGAGATATTCACTCCAGACCCCATCACTGGCCGAACCCAAGATATTTAAGTATCGAGGTGAACTCAAAATGATCGAATTTAGAATTGTACTTTCGGACTCCTGCCTAGTAGTTCCAATGGTTAGGTATTTTGCAGAAAAACCTGAATGTTCTTGGTTTGTGGCAGACTGAGCGAATTCAGACATTTCACGTTCTTGTACTCAAATCCTGTTTCAAGGCCAAACGGTAGACGACAATCAGAAACAAGGGAAACGTTTGAGCCAAGGTGATTATGCCCATTGTAAAGTTTCTAGCATATATACCTTTGTCTAGGTGTGATATATATATATATATATATATATATATATATATATATCTCAGTGATTAGTGTACACACTATATGGTTTGTAAGTTACAACTTCCGCTTCATTCTTATTGTTCTGACTCGCGTAGCGTTTCTGAAGTGTTTATATCAGTATCTGAATTAGACGACCGCTGAGCGCAAACACCTTGTTTATTGGTAGGGTTGTTAGTGTACAATTCTGAGAATTCATATACTAAGACGAAACGGCTGTTTACTTCTTAATTTTTAGTGATGTTTAAAAATTTGATCAATCGGTGATGAGTATTACCTACAAATTATATCAAATTACTGTTACACCCTTTCAACTAAACAATAAGAGTAGTTTGTAAACTTACTACAATTTAATGTTTTCATGGAAGTTCCAGTATTATTCTCCATATTATTCATGATTGATTCATTCATAATTGATGTCGACGATGATGGTCTAGTTTTAGCTGCTAAAATAGCTCTTGATATATCTTCAAGCCATCGATCACGTTGCCAATCTGATGAAGCAGCTACAAGAAAACATCGGTTACCTGAATAAATGGTGAAGCTATGTGCAGGTTCCACTTCTTCAACCATTAAATCTTGTAATGAGAATTGACCGTGGACCTGTAATAGGATAATAAAGACCATTTTCATGATTCAATTTTCTACTAGTGTTTGCCTATACACAAATACATTATAGATAAGTATTAATATGACCAATTACTTATTACCAATGTATCCATAAATGTAATTAGTTAATTTAAACCAATTAATTTATTTATGCTCACATTCTGATATTCATAAAGAAACTATTATAAATCATTGGCAGAGAAATTTGATTATAGTGAATTTTCTATATAGTTGGAAGCTAAGTGTAGATGGTGGTAAGTTTTCTCCAAGGCATTTCCATTGATGAAACTAGTCGATAATCTATCATTAACCACTCAATCATCCAGTTGGTTGGTTATATTTAGGTGAAAAGTGATAATATCTTAAGTGATTTGACACAACGATCAAGGAATACTTCAATAAATGTATTTTGAATGCCTCAAAAACTTTAACTCAATACAGACAGAAGGAACGTAAGGACATGGCGTGCCTTTGTCCATATATCATCATCTCTAGGTCAAAAGGTAGGTGAGATATACTATTGTAGGAAGTCGACTGTGTTCTTAGACAAGGTTTCAGCCTATATGCCTGAGGTAGAAGGATAAATGTACACATACTGTTGACCTGCGTACCCATTAACTTGATTTTAGTAATTAAAGCTTCATTGTCATTCTTCAATCTTCTCACTCACATTTGTGGTTGGGTAGGGATTTAGGAAGCATGTATATCTCTGAGTTGGATGTCGTGGGTTGTAACACTGACTCCTCGTAAGACAAATAATGTTTCCAAAAGTGCATAACATAAAATAACCGCAAAATTCAAGTCACTTAGACTAGAATACACACGTTGCAGTTTGTTTGATAGAATTAAATTTTCACTAAGGAGATCAAACTTCCTGAAACCGATTACAACTTAGTGATCGGTTAATACAAACTTTATGATTTAAACAAAACAACAACATGAGTATCACTTTGAAATATATGTTTCAGCGCTCGTATTTCTCGCTTACGCTAATGGGGCACTAAAATGCTTAGTACGAACAATTAACTATTTATCTGAGAATACGACTCACTCGCTCTATATCAAATATCCAGCCAGCGCTATCCTATCAGGCTTCAGAAAAAACTCAAATCAAGATCATATTATTCGTGTAACTAGTATATAGATTAGCCAACAATCAACAACCGACGATCAAGTAAGTACAAGGGATAAGGAAATATTTATTATTAATATGGGACTGTGAAGATTGTTGAGTTTCATTGAAATCATGAGCCGAGCAATGTTAGACTACGACTGAAAACTTGGAAGTACTGAAAAGTCCCATACTAGGGCGAAACGGTCGTCCAGCGCTTCCAGGTTTTCAGTAGTGGTCTGACATTGATATTATCATGATTTGAATGAAATATATACCAGTTTATCTAGTGAAACAAACAATCGCTACTCCCTCTCATCGACACAACAAATTGTTAATCAAATGTGTATCAATGATTAGTTTTACCATAATAATTAAAACTGGGTAAAAAATTTAATTAATTTACTTTGAATTGTAGATAAGATGTCATTGTTCGACTAGCATAAATTAATTGATCAGATAACAGAAAAAACATTCTTGGTTGATAGCCTTTTTTCGACAATTTCTGAAGCCAACCTTCACGAATAAATTGTCTATTAGGATGATAAATTGGTCCTAGTGAATGTGAACCACAGACTGTTAGTGTTGATGTTGAATTATGGGTTTGTTTATTATCATTATTATTGTTATTATTACAATTATTTCTTTCATTTTGTAAATGTGAATACTGAGATAAATCTGATGAGGAAATAATGTCTGGATTAAATCCAATTAGATCACGTTGAATTTCTAGTAATTTATAAGTATTTTCCATCTTTTTGTAGGATTCCCATTGTGATTGAATAAGATCATTTAATTTGGCATGTGCAACTGTGAATAAAAAAAGAAAAATGACTAACCAACAGATATATACATGTACGTCTTAATAAAGTTGAATTTGAACTAGCATTGTAATTCAGGATTTATGTTTCTCCCCATTAAATATTCATCCGGTTGATATATCTGTCTTTACACTAAAAGTGCCTGATAAATTATAGTTGTCAGTGTCAGCAAGTAGAAGATACAAACACATACAAATTGCTTTAAACTCGTTGACATAGTGGCCATTTGGAATTAGAAGTGTTTGAAGCGACTGGAACTGAGGTCTAATGCGTTCCTTAATATCAACAACGGGAACATACAAAGCCTGACGTATATATTCATTGCATCATTTTTGTATTATTTTCGATAAGTTTATACCATACACAAACATCAGCTAGGAAATCAGTGAAAGTATAGAAGCATTAAACGACCACTCGAATAACCCCACAACTTTACATGAGATTAAGTTTGGAACATTTAGGTATAGTAGTAACCATTAAATCGAAATACAGAGATTTACAATTCCGATTTGCAAGGAGCTTCAGTTCGTCTCATTATCGTTCTGTACAATATAATTAGAATTCATTTCAAGTAGAAATTTAATCTAGAGTAATTCCACAAGAGTGAAATCATTTCGTTTTCATAAACGTGTTTGCAGTTGTCTGTGACTGATGGCTTTGTTGTCTATAAATATGTTTGGATTTTCATTGGGTATTCTGTTAACCTCCAACTATGCGATTCACTGACATTTTCAATATAGACTGCATCTGTTGATATATCTATCAATTTCAGACTGATTTGAATGGCGTGCTTTTAAAGAACTGCTGGTATTCATAGAATTTCATTGAATCGGAGCCATGGTTAGGCGGTTAAAGAGCCTGACTTTCATTGATTAAGCCTTTTTTCAATTTAGTATCGCTAATCCTTACATAGGTACGAAGTTCATAGCTAAACTCCTGTTACCCGAATTTGCATGTAGCTTAAAGAGTTACATTAGAAAAAAAGACAAAAATCACAAATACTAATGCTTTTACTTACTTCTACAATCGGATAAATCTGGATGAATCTCACCATAGTAACGCATTAATCGTTCAAGTAATACACGATATTGTAACAACCGATGCATTGGTTTTAATAAAAATACATAGAATGGTAGATAACAATATTTTTGTGCTTCAAAATTTCTTAATAATTGTTCGATTTCCGGTCTAATTCTTGTTAATTTTTCGATATCAAGCATAATATTTCCCGCATTCATTAAATAACAATGATAGAGCTAATTATTTATTTTCATTTTGGTTTGTTCATGTAGAGAAAAGTATATGTAAGAGAGAGGGAGAGGAAACAAGACTTATTAGATTAAGGAAAAATTTTTCAGACAAAAATGGAAAGCTAAACATTGAACTTAATCATCGAATGGCATAATTGTAAATAGTTATGTGAATTTTTGCCACAAGTCCTAATTTGATATTGAGCCTTTGAACTAGATCATTTTGTACATTCAAAGTGGACTAAACATAAAAAAGGTAGACCATAAAAGAATTTACATAAATTAAGCTGGACACAGTTATCAACAGTGATTATTCATTGATCCTATATCTAAGGTTGATAAATATCATGTTTAATAGATCTGTTTTCTGTCAGAATTCTTTACACTAAAAAATGACTAACCTTTCAATACTCTGACAATTAAATTTTATGATACCATATGCTCACTTTCCACAGCCACTCTTACCTGACCGAGTGGTTACAAAAAAACACATAACTGACACAGACACACAATAATGGACCAGGATAGAAGGTTGTATAAATCACATGATTAATGGTTTTTTGAAGAACTTTACCAATCAGTGTCACCTTACAATAATTTATCCAAAGTTACTGCAAAAATGACCAGCTGATCAAATAAAATATCATTTTGTTGGTGTTGTGTTCTCTAAACTAGGTGGTTTATTTGTGAAGCTTCCATCGTCCTTCTGGATAATATCATCAGGGTGAACTTCAATGAGAAGTGACGTACTAGATTTTCTCTATCACTGACTGAAAGCTTATGCTGTTGACCTGGAATTCGGTCAGTTGTTATTTATAAATATGTGGTCATTGTCTGTGCATTTGTTTTTATTGTCTTCTCTTCTGACTTGAACGGCAACCTTGCAGTTGTCAATTTTTTTATTGACTGATAGACATAATCAATTTAAATGTGTCTATTGATTGCAGTTTGACTGGAGTGGTAGACAACTAAAGTTCTTCAGCTTTCTTTGTGTTTCCTCTGTACAATGTTCTTACATTTTCCAAGTCGAATTTATGTTCATAGTTGTTCACATATATTGATATAAACGAACAAATGTTGTTACATTTAACAGCTATCTAGTTTTCATGTAATGCAAATGTGAACATGACACCTAAAATTCTAATCTTAATCCTCAAATATTCTCCATCGTCTCAAAATATCATTTCACCGGTAAATGACATTTGAATTTACGTGCTGTCTATCAATGTCTATTAATTTAAAGGTATCATTATGTATTTCATTTATTTTCACCCTGATTCTTCAGAGTCAGGCTATTCGGATCTATTGTTGTTTTTTTATAGAACTTATAGCTTTTCCAATGTAGCCTAAAATTATCATCCATTTCAAATGACTCATTGTCTGAAATCAACAAGAATCACTATTTTACAATCAGCTTGCAATGCCGATAAACGTTCACCATAGTTTTTGACTGCTTACAGTTGATATGTAGCCATTTGGTGTAATGAATCCATATGACGAGATAAATATCATTTTTTCTCTATAGATTTAAAACATCAAAAAAGACGAATAAATAAAGTGGGAATAGTTTGTTGCTCATGGCGCAGAATTTTGCTGATATTTATTAAGCTACTTAATTTGATTTCAGTAGGTGAAAATTTAATTTCCACAATAATACTTTCAAGGGTAGCAAAATTTTTCAAGAGGTATATTATCATGCACATCACTTTGTAATTATTAGAAACATTAGTTCACTACATTCAAGATACGTAATATACTTGAAAGAGCGGCAAAATTTATATTTTTAAACCAAAAACTAGGTACTAAAAAGAATTCACTCCTAACGATTGAATAGAGATTATATTTGGTGTTTTTCGTCATTAGTTAATAAAAAAATAATGCTGATAAGTTGAACGTTATTTGACTATCAAATGATCGATATAAGAAAAAATGATCGCGTACGTGATAGTTTCTCTATTGTCAGCTAATTATGAAGTAAGGAAATGCAATTAATAATAACTTGAAAAGGTCAACGATAACAGGTTTTCTAATTAGAGGTAGAATTAAGGACAAATGATTTCCATTTTCAGGAACGTTGGCCAACAAAACCAGTAGAGTCTAATCAAAAAACAAGTGTACGGAAACACTCTACACCGATCAGTTTTTTAATTAATATTTACAAAGTGTCCAATAACTTATCGAATAAATTATTTTGAACAAAAAGTTTAAGAACGGAAGAAGAGATTGCAATTATCAACCTCATAGAGTTTTCAAGCAAAAATCATTGAAAACAATTGCCTCACATACAACTTCGCTTGAAAAGCCTCTGCTTAGTCAACCATGAACTAAAAAGAAGTTCACTGAGACTAGTTAATATTGAGATGACTAAAAAAGTCGCACAAAATATCCTAACACAAACCAAACATTGTGAAAAAACAAGACGAGCCAAATTACGACTACAGAATAAATTTCAACCACCTCAGAAACATTGAATGGCAAGAATAAATAGCCTTTATCACCTTTTTTTCGTCTGAAAATTGACTGACTGTCTCCTTTCATAGAGGATATTTTTTTGTCTCATTTATATGGAGATTTTCGGGCATTAATTTGATTGGAACAATATTTCAATCTATTGTATTTATTAAACTTTGACATTTATTTTGCTTAGCGAAGCATAGAACTGTTTACGCATGTATTATTTCATTATTTCAAATAAACAATGAACAAAGTCAGAGGTCAAGTCAACCGAAACATTGATAAGCTGCTGGTTTAGTGTTGTGATAACATATTTACTGCTAAAACAAACATTCATACTCAATTAGGTCATTTGGTTAAATTACTAATTTATTAGTAAAGGGATTCTAATATTCTTTATTTTTCAAGTTTACACTGATGGTATTGTTTAATCAGAATGAAAGCATCGTGATTAAAGATAAAAATGTAAACTATCAGAAGTCAGCGCTATGGTCTAGAGGCTAATTTGCTCGCCATGTGACCAGCAGGTTCACGGTTCAATTCCCTAATGGAGTTGTCAATGCAGACTGTTGAGGAATCTGATACCAGAAAAAAACAGCCATTGTCTAACATGACAACAACAAAATCTGAAAAGAGAATATCGTTTTTATAACAAATTTTATCATAACTAAATTATAAATATAATAATTTTAAAAGTCATTTGGCGTTTACAGAGAAAAAACTGAATATGATAAGCAAATATAGATAGTGGCTAGCAGTGGAATCCAGGACGCGCGTATGCACATATGCCAATAAGAGACTGACCAGTTGAGGTCCTTAACATCAATGAGAGAATTCAAACAAGTAATACCAAATGAATTTAAACTTCACCCCATTACACAAGCAAGTGGCTATCAGGACTCAGTAGCTGAGTGGATAACGCGATGGCATTTGAAGCGAACACTACTGGGTTGGAGTCCCAGAGTGAACATCAACTCTGAGATGAAGTTACATTCAGCTGACGGGTCCCAAATAGGATGAAACGCGCGTCCTGGATTCCACTGCTATCCACTATCCATCTTTGCTTAGAATGCTTGTGAAATAAGGCAATATCGAGGCAATACGCACAGTGTGCACATATGCCAATAAGAGACTGACCAGTTGCAGTCCTAAACATCAATGGGAAGATTCAAACAAGTAATACCGAATGAATTTAATATGATAAATTATTCTTTAAATTTTTTTTATGGGATTCAAAAAACAATGAGTGTCAACTGATAAACATACAAACTAATATATGCATATGTACTTTATTTTTTGACAATGTTTTACAATAATTTAAATGAAACAAAGAAAACAAAACAATCTGTTTACAACATGAAAAAAAAAGCAAACAAACCAATGAAAACTTACCGGTAAAATATGTAAACTTGCAACAAATAAATCACCAATACGATAACCAGTTGATGAATTTATTGATTGAGAATTTAAATTTAGTGAATCTAAACCAGTAGATTGTTTATTATGATCATTTTGTTGTGATGACCAATTTGAAAGACGATTTTCAAAATTATTTAATATTATACAATGTTCTGTATAAATTGGATTAAGAAGATCAACTAAATTGGATGTTAATTCTTGTAATAGTTGAGGATTAATATTGAAATTTGAACATAGTAAATCTTTACCAATATCTTTAAAATGCTTTGAAAGAAATAGAAGAAAATTATAATAGGAAAGATTGTTATTATAAACAAAATGAAATATAGAGAAGAGTAATTAATTTTAACATCAATAGAGGTATGGACATTAGAAATAGTTTAAAACCAACAGATAGAATGGCAAAGTAAATATTTAGTAGTCACACATAACTTGAAATTGAAAGCTAAAGCTTGAATATACCTTTATCACTGTGACCAATTTTGTATTGCCAACGAACATCTCAAACCACTAATTATGACTAATGCGTAGGGTCCAGTCAAAAATCCACACCTACCTAAAAAGCTCAGATTAAAAGTCAGTGATTTCATAGACTGACCCTACTTCTTGGTTCGGCTGTTCCCTTCTTTTAACCAACCTACTCTTTTCAGTCAGCATTGCATGTCAGGATAGGCAGTAATTAGACCTACGTAAGTCATACCTTAAGCATTTCTATCAACAGAGGTTCGTAATCTCATGGGTCAATTTCACTTCTGTCCTAGTGCTTTAGAAATAACATCATTATTATAAACTGCTTTTTAGGATATAGGAACAATGGCTCGAAGATACTAATAATCATTAACTTTTAGTCCATATGTCTTCTCTACTTTCGTGAGGCAAGTATCACATTAATTAAGATCAGACTGATGAGTGGTATATTCACCCACTGGTTGTTGAGTGGAGATCTAGCCCACGCCACGGGTGACATTAGCCAGAAAAAACCACGAGGGTTTACAGTTACTGTACTGAGATTTCGTTAGCCACTAACTCACCAGGAGTGATTAGACCTTAACTATAAGCGAAGTAGTACACTGTTGTACTTCCTATGTTCAAGCTACAGGTAGGTGTAGATCAGTCCTGAAGTAGCATTTTACATAGCAAGAAAGACGCATCTGAATCATTCTTGCATTGTCGGTCTAAAGGTTCAGAAGAACTTCAACAATTTTGGACCTATTTGTTAAACAAGATAACGCCACCGGCATTTACTAGGCAGGTGAAGAAATCTAGTAAACTGTCAATGTCCTAAAATCCAAACAAAGAAATTGGTATCTTTAAAAGCATATCTATGGAAGAATCAAACCAGATTCAATAATGTAAAACACATAGAAGAACAGTACTTGGGATAACAATGTCAGATGACAGTTCATCATATTCTGTAACCCAATCGGGTGTATTCGAGAGAAGATTCTTCGTTAGGTTTATATAAATTATTTAGTACGTTATGAAATGGGACACACGGACAAAACTTTGCCGATCAATAGTCAAGTGAAACCAAAAGGTCGGGAAATGAAAATATACTTAAGTGTTGTTAAATATATCTATGTTTCAAAGCCTAGCGAAGGGTAAACATTTGATCAATGCATCTAATTTCAAGTATGAAAACAGTATGATTTTCCTGGTTTTGGTGTTTTTAAACACCAGTCTAGTGTCAGATGACTATCAAAGTCAACCGTTTGATGGACTTAAACGTATATCAGATCTGAAAAGTTGTTCATTCAACGATTACATAAACTTAAGATTGGTAGAGTAGGGAATTACTGAAGATGTACAGAAAAAATTTGTGAGAATATATAGCTAAACTATTTAATAGCATTATACTTTATTATCCAAGCTACTGAGATAATCAGAGTTACTTGTATCTCTATCTAGTAAAAAGCTATTCTCTCTCTCACCTCCCTTCGTTTAGTATTTTTATTCATTTTTTTGATATTGACATTGATTGAAAATGAAAATGTATAAAGAAATTAATGACTCTTATCATTGAAGTTCTATTATGTTGTACGATGGAATAAAGAAATGATTGATTAAGCATATTATTATTTTTTTGAAATAAACATTGAAAAACGGAAACCTTTTTATTGTAAATTTTCAATCTTACTGATGACATACTGCATTGATTAATTTTATGTAATAGTAAATTGATAAATACTTATAAACATACAATACTTCATAAACAGTACAAGGGGAGAAGGGAAACGATTTTATTACTGTAATCAAGAGTACTGATTAAATCGATTGACCGACTTAGACAAAATAATCTGTTATTATGTTTTAATCCATTGGTGTTCAAATATTTCCGTAATAACCAAATATATGCGACAGATAAAGCTAACAATTCTTTAAAGAATGTGTAGTATGAAGTGTTATCTAAAAAACACAGTTCAGTGATTATTGAAATTTGTATAGTCAATATGGTTAGTTTTAAGAAATCAAACTAGCGTATTCGGTATGTACTAATATCCACCATTTACGTTGCTTAAACTTCTCTACATTTTAATTTACATCTAGGAATAAATCTATTGATATTAATTAGATCATTACGGACTTCTTTATTCATTGTTTGTTGATAATATATTAAATAACGTACTAAAAGCCTGGTATTACTATACTTCAGAAAATATCAAGCACAACTTTTTATCTCTCTAATCTATGTTGTTAAGTGTAGTATTTAAAAATCGAAGAAATCGACTTTTTCGTATGAGAAATTTAAACACTTCACTTTTACTCGAAGTTTGTGCTGCTGATGATGTCGTTCAGAAGTACGATGAAAGCTCCACGACCAAACCATCCAGCTCAGAGAAAAAAACTCTATCAAAAAAATTGACTGCAGATATTTTGAAAAGAAAACTTTGTAATATTTTAAACTAGATTATAACAAACACACACACAATACATTAATATTAATTCTGGCATATTATCTAGATCAACTTTAATAATCAAAAATCATATTGTCTACAAGTGAAAGGATTTATATATAATAAAGAAATGAGGAAGAGTGTTAAAGTTAGAAACTAGTTCAAAATTGTCAATTTATTCTAATCTTATTAAGCTTCATGTCTTAGTTATCTGGTTTTTTAAAAGAAAAAAATAAATATCTTTTAATAAGCTACCTATTAAAAAACTTTTTTTAATAATATTTGGTATCAGGAGAAATAAATGAAAATTAAACAACAATAAAGAATTAACCAGCAACAAGATGCTTACGTAATTTATTATTTTTTCAGTTATAATAGGAAATATTATATTTCTTTAATGATAATATTGATAGTAGCAGTGTGAAAAAATATTCATGGTTATGTAGAGTTTACTTTGATACATTAAAAATTCTCATCGTGTAATTAGAACAACACACATACAAACGAGCAATGTTGTTCCCCATAAGATGTTCATCAACGTTTTCTCTAAAAATACAGTAATATTTGAATAGCTATGTGAAAAATGTTAAACCCTGCAAAGTAATTTATGAATCAGTGATAGAAATTTGATTAATGAGGTAGTAAATCTTTATCAATGGAGTTGGTTGGGACGTATGTTACATATGCTTAAAAACACCTCACCTCGATACGCGATTATGTCTGATGTAGGAATAGGTTTCAAGAAAGATAGAAGTGGCCAAACCAAAACGTGGCATCAATCCATGAAGTCATTAACAGTTGAACTGAGTCAGGTTAATAGGTGTAAACTGTCTGATTGGGTTCACATGATTATTGTAATCTGGTTGGAGACTTTAGTTGACATGACTCAGAGTTTTTCGCAATGACGGTGGTACATTCACTCATTGTTTATCCCAGGAACGTGAGTCCCGAAATCTCCGTACCACTTTTTCATTTTCCTATGCTTAATAGCTTTTAATTACTACTGATACTGTTGCTACTTCTACTACCTAATAATTTGTTTGAAACGATTTTATCTCTCTGTGGTATAGTGGTATGCCAACTTCAACTGAAGCACATATTTGTCATTTTCTACTTTGGATACGATGATGATGATGAGTCACTGGTTGGTCTAGTGTGTTTTATGCGGAATTGTTTTAAATTTTTATCTAAGCTATAAATTATGTGGACACTTAAAAAAGATTTCAAAGGAAAATAATTAGTTAAGAATACCATATAACAACAAAATGTGTATTGATATATATCTTACATATGAATGGTTAAGCCATGATATGGTTAAAAAAGTGACTATTTAATTTAACTTAAACTATCAATTTATATTTATATTTAACATTAAATAGTGACTAGCGTGGGTATCCAAGATATGTATTTACTTCCTTCTTGGTACTCATTAGCTGGTTGTATCTGCATATCAGTGTTAATGCTCATATTGCGAATTGAACCCAGTATCTTACTCTCGGGATGCACATATACCTATAGAGACTGATTATTAACAACGGAAAAATATAAGCTGTTACAGATATCACTTTGTATATTGTTTGAAATTATTAGTAAGAAATAGGTTAGTGAATAATCATTATCTTAGTCACACAAATAATTTATTAATTAGCTTCGAAATTAGATCACATAAGGCGTTTTCATGAAAGGAGAACAAAATTTCATGAAATTAGCATGAATGGACATATACTACCCGTTACCAGGACTATTACGATTAATTTCCGTTTAAGTAATATATGAGTAATATATGAGTAGTACTCAAGAAAATTCAGTCAGTTCACATTTTAGTCAGTTTAACACAAATAAAACTCCACATAATCCTTTTTGAAATGTTTCAGTTACAATACATTCAACCAGCTTTGTAACCTAGTGTTAAAGTCAGTCAACAGTCTGAATCCACCAAAACTACCAATTCACTCAAGATTACTGATAAATCTTGACGATGAGTACTAACGTACGCTAAACATAAATCCAAGTTTCACTAGCTTGGCTTCAACTGTTTACTGTACATCTAGATTAATTTTTGAAAGATAAAGTGAACAGAATTATAAGATATCTCCGACATTGAGCGGCAATCTAATTTAGCTCGCTACTTTTATCCCTCTTCATAAATAATGGGAACTCAAGCCGTTAAACGTAATAACGTTTCTAATTTATTAGTGAAACCTCAGTGTATGCGGTGGTTTGACATAGTTTACAGGTTTTTCAAACTTTTTATATGTTTTTTTTGTAGTAGACCATTTTTGCTACAAAATATTATTTATTCGAAGGAATATCAGTAAATCTTTCGTTGCCCTGTCAATTCACAAACATCATATGAACAATTTTGGTGGAATTCTTAATATTATAAGTTATTTGAACAAAATAAGAATTCTTACAACTCAATATGTCAATGACGACTTGAGTTGATTAAACGTTTACTTGGAACAATCGAAAAACACATCCATAGTTCACATCATATTAGGAAGAAACAGATGTTCAACGTTTTCTAATTTTCAATGAATAGTACATGTGAATCACTTAGGAGTTTCATTCTAGGTCGATATAAGTATCCAAACGATTTATGTCTTCCAATATTTTTCTAACTAAATTAGGTCAGTGATATACATCTAATAATTCAATAATATCCATAACACACTGTAGTAACCTATGAAAAAATGGACAAATTGCTATCGAATTAATTCTCCGACAAAATCCACTTCAAAAATAGTAAATATTTAATATAATTTCGGTTTCACTCCATGACGTTTTCAGCATAGGATGATATAAAATTTGTTCCTTATCAATTTTAAATGATTTGAACTCTAAATAAAGGTATTCATTAATAAGCTATTCATAAAGTTAATGCTAGTTCATATAATATTTTGAATTTCACACAAGGCGCTAAACATTGCTACATTTATTCTAATTGGTTCTTAGGCATAATATAATTTCACTAAGTAATATGCTAATATCCTATGATAATAACACTAAGAAACTCTCTTATTACTTTAAGGTAGTCAAATCATTCCATTTATCTCAACTGTACTAATAAATACCCATTTTATTTATACATGCAGGTATATATTTACATATATATGTAAACTGTTTTAGTATTTCAACCAGTTTTCAACAATTTATTTTACGATATACAAAATAAATGGTATATTAATTGATTATAAAATTATTCCACTGTAAAGGAATTTATCAGTATGTTAGATTTGTAATAGTGAATAAAAGTTACTTAGTTCTTATATTTATACACAAACTAACTACGATTGAATTTATGGTATTCTGAGCAAAGATAAATAGTGGATAGCAGTGGAATCCAGGACGTACGTTTCATCCTATTTGGGACTCGTCAGCTGGATGTACCTTCATCTCAGAGTTGATGTTCACTCTGTGACTCCAACCCAGTAGTGTTCGCTCTAAACGCCATCGCGTTATCCACTCAGCTACTGAGTCCTGATAGCCACTTGCTTGTGTAATGGGGTGGGAAGATTCAACCAAACAATACCGAATGAATTTATGGTATTCTGATTTATTTGTTAAATTATTAACCAATAAGCTATGCAATTCATTAGTCTATAGTTTGGTATAAAATAAAATTGTAAATGTTAATTATATAGCCGGATTATTTAGTTTAGTTAACAAGTGAACTATTAACTCCAGAAAACACAGGTAAGCACGTAAATCTCTTTATGATTCTTGTTAACTTTTGTGTAAGTGATATTTATCATCAGCACCATCTGCCAGAATCTTTTTATCACTTTTAATTGTACTCGAAACCATAAATATTAGATCATCCTCCCATACATCAGTCAATCGGTTAGGTAACGACGAGAACAACAAAGACAATCTAACTACTCCAATAAACTATTCAATAAGTGTTCTTGGAAGGTGGTGTGTAAAAATAGTAACGATGTAATCAGTGCAGGTTTACAACATGCCTTTACTAGTTTTTACTGGAAATTATTGAAAGCATGCTCAACCACAAAGTCAACATATGTTATGCTTTCAGATTGTCTTAAGTCCCTCCATATTTCGGGCAATCGGAATATTCTTCTGATACGAAGTAGGATCATAGCGAACTACATAGACGATGCGACTAATAAACAATACTCAAACAATAATTTCCCACGTGCTGGAAATGAGAAGTCAGGGTCTTATGAGTTTGTTGTTTTAGGAATCTAAAACGCCTCTGTTTATACAGTAGCGGAAACGTAACAAAAGTAATAAACCGAAATTGAGAACAACCGAGGAAACATAAGTTGGTGAATGTCATTGAGGACTTCCTAAAATGTTAAGACTAAAATAACTGAGGTTATATTACCAACATACATAGTGTGAAATGACGACTTTGAAAAAAGTTAAAAAAATTTCACACTAAAAAGATTATATAACTTACTGTACAAATCACACTTAGATTTCTTTTGTAGGTACGTTCAGTCATAACTAATTCACGAACTAAATGATAGGCCTCATCCAAATGATGCTTTGACTGAAAACAAAAGAAATATTCACAGAAAATAAGCGATTAAAGCTTAGGGACAGATTCCGTTTTTCTCATTAAAATATAAAAAAAACTCTTATTATGAATTATGGATTGATAAAAAGTGTCTTTTACTAATATACATTAGAAGATGATACTTTAACAAAATTTCATTTCCAAATAATCCTAATGTAATTCAGGGAAGAAGATGGGAAAAAGGAAATATATATTTATGGTGAAATGTTAAGCAAATAAATTTAACCAGGGAGCTAAGACAGTATTTCTTATGATAGTTACCGATGGATAATTTGTTGTTTTGGAAATGTTACGGGAAATCATATTTTAAAAAATATAAATATGGTTAAATCAAGTGCAGTACTTTAAATCTCTGACTGGAAATAAATATTTAAGCCCTATATATATCATTTTAAGCAATAAATGTTTTAGAGTATTTGCATTGATTGATTACTGAGTACTTTTACCTAGTCTCGAGTCATTACTTAATTCAAATGATCAACATCAAAACATAGCTCGTATAATTTCAAGTCAATTAGACTACTGGCAACATTGCAAACTCGAACAATAGAATACGATAATAAATAAAGGACGAAATAATCATGACACTAGTCACTGCTCAGTAATGAATTAGTTGTAACTATCACAATTCTACAAAATGTCAGTCGCATCCCGAGTTACTGAATGCGAACGTCTCAGAATATAAAGTCGGAAAAAGAAGGTTCAAACATCACAGGAACCAGTTCCTTCAAAACTCCAGGTACGCTTTACTAACGAGCGTTAAATAGTATGTTATCTATGGTCAGCGTATTTTAATTATCAAATATGTTTTTTGAATAACTGAGAGAGGAGAGAGTTATATTTGAGTCTGAAGCGACACATGCCTAGTGAAAAGTATTACAATTTGAATACATTCTTAATAAAACAAACTTTTAACTGTCAATACAATGGGATTAAGTGGGAGTGAACAAACGAACTTTTATTGACTAAAGTAATAATTATTATAATTGAAAAAAACATGAATGAGATTTTCAATAAACGGTAGAAATTTAACAGATAAAATTAATTATTTTCTTGGGTTTACTTTATTTTTAGTGAAGAACGGAGAATTCACAACAATTCCTATTTTCATCATTTCCCAAATATAAAAAGGAGAACAATGAAAACCTATAAATTGTAATATATCAATGAATATTTCCTTTATTCTTAAATTTGTCATTGTAATTTGAAATGAACTAGTCTGAATGACAGTTATAATGATAGTATATCACGTTCTTTCAACTGGAAAGTTCAATCATGAAAATCTCATTGTTATTCTGTATTAGATAATCATTGCCTATTACGATGAGAAGTGAAAATTTGAAAAAAAATTATTCCGGGTGATTATGTTTTTGATTTGTTGTTGTCGCGTGTTTAATTATCTTCAAATGTCTTTTCTTTTTCAGCTAGAATTAATTGTTCTATCCAATTGACCTGTGATTATATGATTCGTAAGTTTATTGTCTACATGGATTCAGTGCAGAGAAAATAATACCAGTTATATAGTTTCTGTATGATTTCAGGTTATTTATTATATGAAGATTTTCACTAATAATTACATAGTTAAAAAAATACGAAACACTACATGGCACATATATTTAGCTTATATGATCGTAACTAATAATTTTGTCTAAAAAAAGATTAAAAGAAAGGGGTTGAGATTTTTGAAGTTATTCTTATTCTTCAAAATGTAAACAATTTAATAATAATATTGAAGTTACTATGATATGGTATGTGCTAGGGAGTGTATTCATTATCACTACAAATCTTGGTTATTCGATAATGATCGAAATAAGAAGCCAATCCTTCTTTTTCCAGTTGATTTAATCATTTAAACTTAAAGAATATTGAATTTAATGAAGAGTAAAGAAGGACACTTTATAAGTTGATTTATGCAATTTCAATTTTGTTTCTAAAAAAAAAGAAAAATATATGAGTGTATAAGTAAGGGTTTGTAGTTTGCTGTTATTGATATTCAATACTGTAAATTATAATCCCTTCACACTCGCTACACAAGTTATTGGCTATCTGAATAACGCACTTGGTGTTTGTCGAGAAAGGTACCAGGTTTCAGTCTCAGTGTGAAGATAAATACTAAGATTTAGATTTATTCAGCCGACGAGCCCAGAACTGGACGAATTGCCCATTCTGGATCTCAGTTACAGTTGTATACCAAATCTGATAAAATGTGTGAATGAATGTCAATAACACATGAAGTAAAAAGGTACTGGTTTCGACAAATGAAATTCCACGTTTGCTGTGACATTTTTATGGATTTAATTCTACAGAAAATTATGTGTAGGAATAATATGATGAATTAAAAAAGACGTTTTCTAATATCACTATTGATCTTTTATTATATTGTGAGTAAATAGTATTGTTTGATCAATTCCTGGTCAAAATCAAATACCTACTTCCTAATCGTTCTTTCTCAGGTATATAGCTATTTTGTTTTTCATGTTTAAATAGTATTTTCTAAATGAAAGACCTTCATAAATCATCGAATCAAAAATATCTTTACGCGCTCATTTAAGTAATATATTATGCATAAAAAGAATTAAGTTCATAAAACTTAGTGATTTTTAACGATGGTAAAAATTAGTTTTGTTATTTCCTGTAAAATAAATATATTTATATACAAAATTTGACCTACAGCAAATGTTAAATGAATCATTAAAAGAAATGAAAATGGTAATAATAATAACAATAATGGAACAAGATAACTTGGCACTCAGGTCAATCTGGAATCAATAAGCATATCGAAATTGAACGAATTTATCGACTAATTTGGAAAGACATCAACAACTATAAGTCCGAGAATAGGGTCAAGGTGGAAAGTAATCAAAATAAATATAAATGGAATGACATGACAATTGTTTACAACAACAAATCAAAAACTGTCTTAACAAAGCCAACTCTTAGTAGTATGCAAAATAATTCGAATAGATCACTTCTCTCTAAAGTTTGTACAAATGTTGATGGCTTTCTTTAGAATGATAATGAAAGCTTCACGATTAAATAATTCAGTTGAGAGAAAACAACTCTAATAGGGACATAAAATAATCATAAAGAATCGATATTTCTTTCCTAGACTGATACATCAAATAAACAAATAGATTTCTCAATGGAATTTATTTTCATTCAATTATAGAAAATCTAATTTAGAAGTGACCGTTTTTTTGTTCTTCTTCTTCTCTCTCATTCTTATTCTTTTTCCTCATTTTATTATTTAAAAATAATGAAAATCTCATTTTATTTATTTATCTCATTTTACTTCGTCTTTCTGTAACAGAAGAATAGCTTGATGTTAATGATAATGATTAGACTAAGCTAATCATCATCATTATCCTGGTAGGTTAATCTTGTTGTTGTTGTTGTAACGCTAAAGGAAGTAGAAGAATATTCACTTGTGTGTGTGTGTGAATGCTATGAGTTGTATATAGATAACTGAAAACATGGAAATTTGATTGATCAGTCATACTATGTTTATAATAACAATAATAATGAGTCCAAAGATGTCATTTTGATTTAACTCAATTTATTCTTGTTAGTTAAATATTATTTCAAATGAACCTTGAATTCATAGGTTATACAGAAAAAAAGTCTTTTTTCGTTCGGTTGAACTAATTAAATTAGATTAGTAAAAAAACTTGTTTTTTCATTACAAGCCATTTAAAGGATTTTATTTAGTTATTTACGTCATATCTTCCTGTGATTGAATGGAGTATGGAGAGGAGGACAGATTACAGTAATCTCTCATAAATGTTAATATTATGGAATTTTCAATTTGAAATAGGAGTTGACAATATGATGTTACATATCTTTATATGATAGTGATTATTTACTGCTTTTAACATTGAATTCCTATGTAACGATGACAGTTGGAGAATAGACCTGTACAAACTCAGTAAAACTAAATATGATTACAATACAGTCAGACTTATATAATTTTATATGAATTCACTATTAATTGATGACTAAGTAGTGATTGGTGTCATGTTTATCTAATCCTCTTGCCGCTAATCGTATTCTGTCGATCGAACTATAATATATCCATTAATTTGCGTGGTTCAACATTGTGTGCATTATATTTTGACGCTAGGTAGTTAAAGATAGTTTAAATGATTTGTTGAACCTGCGTTTCGTACTGGTTGCTACTTGTTAATCAGGCGTTCCTGTACTTCTTAATTAAGCGATACTTTCTGTTGTATTCGAATATGCATCACTTGAAACATATATATACTTAGAAAATTGTTTGTAATTTCACTAATTAACTTATATTCACTGTCTTTACGATAACAATAATTATAAACTTTAATAGTAGTAATGTAAGTCTTAACTTAAACTATATGCTTATAAGTTATTTGATCCTGCTAAGAAGATAGAGTCTGAAATATAGTACAAGGAAATTTTAATTGTATTCTAATGAACTTGGCGATATATGGAATATTCAAAGTCATATTATGTAACATACTTTAAAACTAAATTAGAATTTCCCACAAACTTTTTTACACTTTGATAAGGTAACTATTTTGTTTGTTTGTTTTTTCACCCAACAGATGAATGTATTTTATTACATGAATTAATAGTATTCAAATGTTTCCAGTTAAACAGAACAAAAAGAATGTATTCTTAAAAACTTTTCCTGTGCACAGAAAGTGTAGTTGTGTCCCTCATCGATATTTTTTATTTTCAAGTAGATAAAAGAAAAAAAACTAAATTGAAAATCAGTCATTGTAGCAGGTTGATTTCGTTCTTTACTTCTTTTCATTGAATTGGAAAAATAAATTTTGCAGACTAAATATTAAAATTATCAAACAAATTATATTGAGGACCACAGATAATAAGGAAATAATTTATTATGTGAACGATCGTTTTTTTGAACTTACAAGTCGACGAAATGTCTGTGGTTTTGAGTGTACACCATGAGGATTGACTTGATCACCTGCTTGATAAGAGTCATGTTTATTATTGACATAATTTTGACTGTCTGATTCGTCACCATTTTGATTATAGATCATGTAAGGATCTATCGCTGAAAAACAACGAGGACGATTTTGACGATTATTATGATTATGACTATGACGACGATGATGATGTCTGTGACCATGACGACAAATATTTGATACAGAACGTGCAGTACTACTTCGTTGGCTACATATGGAATGGTGATCGTCATCTGTAATATCTGCGTCTGATACACGAGCACTGACTGATGTAAGTAGACGAGGTCGATGTAGTGAATTTATGCACGGATATTGATGAATTGAACCTAGTTCATTTTGATCAGTATCACTTACTTTATCAAAATCTGAACCATCTCTATCAACGCATAGGTTTGCTATGCTTAATGCACTTCTTTCACGAGCTGCTAAACTTAAACATGAAGCTAAATGAAGACTACTAGGTCCAGTTATTATTCCCATAGCTAAAGGATGTGATTGTTCTTTTAAATTTTGTGAGTTTTGAGGGGAATCTGAAGTTTCTTCTTCACCTTGTGAATCAGATTGATCTCTTATTACAGATGATAATAACGAATTTTTTTCTGGTTGAATTTGTGGAGGCAATGATGTGGGTTCAGTGATATAACTTTGATTTATTGTTTCTACATTTTTTTGTAGAATACTGTCTCTACGCTAAAATAAACATAAAATGATGCATTGAGTAATTTTCAAAACAAATTGTAAATGAAGCTTATATCAAGTAACAAGTGATAAAAACAGCTTTATATTTAAAGTTGGTGTGAAATACTTTGAGGAAACTTCTAAGATTACCAGAAAAACAGCGCTATGTGATGAAATATTAATTATGAACAACGATGATAAAATATCAGACTATTTGCACGAAAAGCACACAAAGTACTAAGATCAAATGTAAGTACAACATTAAAAATGTCCATATGGGATGTAGTTGAAGTTATCATGAGAAAAATTGAACTTGAATTTATACACTTGAAATTAATCACCAGTATGAAAAAGTTAATCGAACAATGTTCTCTATAATTAGGACTCATTCTATACTTGACTATTGGTATACTTTCTTGTTAGGTATTTTTTTCACAGTGTTCGACTACTGACCAGTGTGACTAAAAAGGTTATCAATGTATATTCAATGAACTACTCATCGTTCATAAAGTAATAATTTCTTATTTTCATAGTTAGGAACATCAACTTATTTTAGCTAAACCACCACCGAAAGGCTGGTAGCATTAGACGGTTCTTTCATCCTAGTATGGGACCATTGAGTAGTGTGAATTCATGACACCACATTCGGCTCAGTGGCCTAAAGGTTGAGCATCCGGTATGAGACCAAGGGTTATAGGTTCGCGTTTCGGATGCGGAATCATGGATGTATACTTCTGAGTAGTTCCATACTAGGACGAAATGGCCGTCTAGTGTTTCCAGATTTTTAATAGTGGTCTAACTAATATTAACTCGTAGTTTAAACTACGAAAATTGTACAATCACTAATTTTCACTCTCTTAATCACTTATTATTGGTTTCACCCGTGTGTTGGATAATTATTTATTTAGTATGGAATATTCATGAGGAAAAATAAAATACAGAATAAATCAGATTAAAGTATGTTCTTTATGAATTCAATTTTTGTTAAAAAAATTCTATATCGTTACATGAATAATACTCAAATGAGAGAGAAACTGCATGATCCTAAACTTAGTTAATCTTATTTCGTTCACTCGAACATTCAATCTATTTCCTATCTTTGCTTTCTTTTCAACTTTCCCTTTTTCCTAAATGAAACTTTTATAAAATTATAATTTTACAATGAGTCATAAACATTTGTGCTTGTTTATTTCATAAAAGGTTAACACTCATTATCCGTCTGCTTTTCCATTCACTGTTCTATAGTCTACTTACTAGATGTAAATGACCTCAATCGATCTATCTGACTGAATGACTGAAAAAGATAGATTGTAAGATGAGATAAATGAAAAAAAGACAAGGAGTTCAATATCAACTAAAGGGGATAGTGAAAAAGTTCATAGGAGAACATAAAAACGTTTACTATGATAACTAGGTTAACACACATACTTGACCGTTTGTTATATGGTTGAAAGGGGTCAGCAAGAACAACTGGACATAGTTTTCATATCGATTTAGGCTAGTTAGCAAGACGTACCCCCCAACCCTGAGGGAACCGGTGCTTCCATTGATATTCGAACCCTTCTCATACAACCTCACAGTCTGAAATGTTCCCACCGAGGTATCTGAGCATTGATTAACCTCCTGTAAGACTGACATAGGTACATTGATTGGTCACGGAGTAGTGACCAATGTCATCCATGTCAAGTCTTTTATCAGTGATCGAATTCCATCAATCAAGTTGAAGTGTGGCCACTAGCCTGAGTTACTCGACATTTTGTGAACTATATTGAGATGTTGAGCGATTTGAAATAGTCTACTGGGTGACTCGGGTTCGAATACAGCAGGAAGTATCACTTTCCTGAGGATTACAGAAACGCTTGATTGACAAATAACAACCAGTACGAGACTTAAGCCCAGAAAGTCCTTCAACCAACTAACGTTAAAAGATAATGCATAATGTTGAATCACTCAGATTAACGGTTACACTACAACTTGATCGTCAGAATACAATCAACAAGAGAATTAGATAAACATGACGCTGATCACTACTCAGTGATCGGTCAATTTTAAACATGGCAATTTGCACATATGTATGTATAAATCTGTGACACCTGCAATAAATAAACTTAGAACTCATTATCGATGAATGTTTTGGTCAATCAATGCAGCTCAGTGATAACGGAATACAGATTTATATAATTGGCTTTGAGGTATACAGTTTTGTCTATAAATACTGGTGATAAATTACCCCGTGGGTCATAACTGAGGCACATGAAGCGTGAATTCAATGTTTAACATAATTTAAACAATCTTATCAATGAAAACTGTACACAATTCCTCCTGTTTATAAACTTGGATAACGAAAGAAGAAATGTCGTGACAGAATAACATGAATTTATGTATTTCATGGTCTCTTTTCAGCTATTTACAACCTAAAATTGTAGTATTATTCATTAAACCGAAACAAGTGTACATACATTATGTCGGAGTAGTCTAGAATGAATGGAGTCAATGTACAGAGTTGGACAATACGGGAGAATTAATATTGTCCAGACGATCGCTTACTTATATTCTAGAACATCTGAACAATGTTGATTCTTCCGTATTATTGTTTCTTAATATTATTCCATCTCTATATTCATCGACTCTATTCATTCTAGACTACTCCGACTAAAGTATGTACACTCGTTTCATTTTGCTGATTAATACTATAATTTTAGGTTGTAAACGACTGAGGAGAAAGCATGGAATACATGAATTCATGTTATTCTGTTACGACGTTTGCTCTTTTTCATTTAAGTCAATAAAAATCGATTGGTTTGTTTATTTACTTATTTATTTGAACACATAAACATTGGTACATAAGGACACCAAATACATATGCGTCACACAATAATATTGAGACCGGTAGCAGTTATCATTTATTTGTATGAGGGCTGTGATGCAGGCCGGGTTCCCAAACTGAAGCAGGTGGTTTTCTTAGGGGGCCACACCTCAAGCCTTTGACCTGAAGGTCTGATCTACAAAGCAGTGGAGCAGCGTTAGAAGATGCAGTCCCATGGTAGTCGGCGCCCAACAACAGGTTCATATGCTATCTGTTTCCTTAGGATCCTGGAACCCATGTGCAACACTGATTTGGAATCAGGGTTTTCCAACTCCCCTGGGTGTATGCTCCGTGTCGACCAACCCCGTTAAAGCTCCGGGTATTCGCTTTTAGTCCTCACAATTTCGTAGACAACATCCCCGCCGCGAGAAGGCAGTGAATAGGACTTTCCTGACAGTGACTGTATACTCGTGGCCATGTAAGAGCACTTGGAGATGGAGAGAGGACTCTTCCCATTCTTTGCCGTACCAGGGCATTTAGTTGAATTGATTTGTGATCGAAATTAAAACAACTTGAATTATCCTGTTGATTAACTGGTAAAAGCAATACATTATTAAGGACGATTTAAACCAGATGTATTTCTTCCAACTGGTCTTATTATATTGTACTCTGTTTTAGCATTAAAGAAAACATTTGTAGTGGACAAGATTAAGATTTTATCATACATATATCTATGCGCGGTCTCTTTATTTAATTATCTGATGAGATTAAAAATAGAAAAATTTAAGATTTAGTAGATAAGAATAAATGATGCATATCAAAGTAATTAGAATAAATTAAAATCTAGTTGGAATAAAATTTTTCTGATTAAAATATTATAATTTATAATAGTAATATCAGTGGATAGGTTATTAAATGAATAAACGATATCGTTATGAAGAATAGTATTACAGGCTTGAAAACAAACTGCATCTCTTCATTCAGTTAAAAATGAGGTAGGCTTGAGGAGTAGGTGAAGTATATAACATAGAAACTAATGTTTGTTTGGTTGTGACATTTTAAAATCATCAGATTGGTCATACATACTGAAATGGGGTAAAAGCATAACATACTGACGACCTTGGGTGACTTATCAACCAGTCAAGAAATACTGTCTAGTTACAAAACGATTAACGATACAAAACAACGAAATAACAGTGGAATAACAGCATTGATCTGATTAATTAACCCTCATACATCAAATTATCCCTTGTAGTATAGAATAAAGGACAAGTTAACATATACACATATATATTAGGAGTGGGGTTAGTGTTAGAGTTATTAACCCTTAGAGTCTTTGTCGCAAACTGACATCAGATATAATGCAAAAAGGTAAGGGATAAATATTAAGATTCAAACAAGAATTTTGAGTTGGATTTACAAATTGAGGTCAAGTAACCCTAGGATTTTCAAAGCAAACTGATACCAGCCATTATGCAATGCTTTGGCACGCTTCTGTTTACAAACTTGAGAAACCTGGGGTCGAGATTTAGAGTTGGAGTAAGAAAGAGATAATATTACCTAACTTCCGTGGTCACTTTTGATTACGCAATGAACCACATCAAACAATTTTACACTTAATTTATATTAGGATCAGGTACGTTTTGTAATTTAGCTTAAGCACCATCTTAAATTCACTCAGTGGTTGCAGAATAGAAATTTGTACCGATCTCAAGAATTTCGGGGACCAAACATTGTTAATCATATTTTTCATTTATTATTTCCTATTGAACGAAATTACAAACATATTGAAACTAACCATGTTGACGAGAAAAAAGACTAATTCAGATAGATGACTACCAAAAAACATTACTTACTTCAGGTGCTGGTGGTGGAGGTCCAGGTCGTCGACCGATCGTTCGAATATTTCTAGTCACATCAGGTGGTATAGAACTTGGATTGCTTTGAACAGTAGAAATTTGTGCTGTAATCTGGTTATCAGACTGACTACATATAGTTTCATCAGTTCCGGCATAGTTGGGTTGAGCTTGTTGTTGTTGGAGTGGTGTTGGTGATGTCATATGTGTTGAAGGTGAGGCAACTTGAGCAAATTGTGGTTGCCTGATCGCTAAAGGTATATGATTCCCTAACGTCACTTGGTTTAAATTACCTGAGGCATTTGTAAGCACCGGTATGTAAGACTAAAATTTCAAAATTAGAATTAGAAAAATAGTTGTTTAATTAATCAAAATAACATGATATTATAGGAGAGTTTATCATAGATAAACTAGTTGAGTCCAATGCCTTTTTTGAATTGTTGGTGTTACTGATTATAATGGTATAGAATCGTTATTTCTAATGCCGTAACATCGCAAAATCTCCTAAACATAACATTCCAAAACTTTACATCCGAAGATTTTACTTTGTTGACTATTCTTAGAGCAATAGAGTTTGATTAAAGGCTAATGAGAACATCATTTTTGCGGTCTTGTTTTGACATATAAGAAGTTTAATTCGATCCTAATGCCTTTACTTTTGTGATAGATAACACCAGTGGCACTTAAATCATGTTAAAACTAATCAGGGAGAGATGTTATCCAGAATGAAAACTAAAGCTCCGAAAGTAAACCATTTGCTGAAAGAGAAAATAACACTACCAAAAAGAATTTACCTAAGCTGCAAGAACCTTTATAATCAATTGAATTAGATAAATGTGGAAGAAATCAAAATTTTCAAAAGCGGTCAAATAATGATTTCAGAGAAGAAAATACTAGACCATTAAAAATCACTTTCACTTTCGAAATATCATTATTTGAATCAGTCAGTCATACGAAACATAGAACCTGGAACAGTTCAAGTTGACATGTCACTTTATCACAGAGAGATAAAATCGTTTCAAGACAACTTACTAGGTAGTAGAAGTAGCAACAGTATCAGTAGTAATTAAAAGCTATTAAGCATAGGAAAATGAAAAAGTGGTACGGAGATTTCGGGACTCACGTTCCTGGGATAAACAATGAGTGAATACACCATCATCATTGCGAAACACTCTGAGTCATGTCAACTAAAGTCTCCAACCAGATTACAATAATCATGTGAACCCAATCAGACAGTTTACACCTATTAACCTGACTCAGTCCAACTGTCAATGGCTTCATGGATAGATGCTACGTTTTGGTTTGACCATTTCTACCTTTCTTCCAATCTACTCCTACATCAGACATAATCGCGTATCGAGGTGAGGTGTGTTTCAGCATAGGTAACACACGTCGCAACCACCTCCGTTGATAAAGATCTTCTAGGTAATTAGTCGGTTCCTGATTTTTACCAGGCACCCTATGCCTAACCTCAGGATTACTCACACAGCGGTCCTAACATACGTAAGAAATGCTTGAAAATTAGAAATAACAGATATTTCTTCTTAATTTTCAATCGTTATTTAACAAAGATCAATTCGAAATGTAAACTATAAATTTCAACAATGTCCACAAACACCATATGGTAATGTTAGCGAATGAATTTCCTCCTAACTGAAAACACTTGTGACAAAATTTTATGAACTGTTCAAAATATACAGAGAAACTAAACACGTTTCGTGTTTCTCAATCAACGTGATGCGGAAAATTGACAAAACTTGTAGAAATTAGACAATTAGCTCAAGATTTAAAAAGTTAAGTGTTATATGTACATAGGTATATAATATATGTTTTGTATGTGTTAGCATTAATAATCAGGAAGTACAGTAGGTTTTTTTCATTCATGTTTTATTTGTGATCAAGTTTTACTTATATTCAGATCCCTATAATCAGAAACAATCCCTTTGAGTTATTCAGATCACTGGTACCTTTCTTCCTTTAGAGCGTTATAGATTCGAGTTTTTAAAATTGTTAAATGACTGAAACATTAAATTAAGAAGTTTAGATACTCCATCCTAACCATCAAAACAGCAAGGTTTAGTGACTGCTGTAAGAACTTGAAAGGTTTATTGCTTATAAATACGAGTTAAGATCTTCCCTGTTGAACAAATATGTTTTATTTAGTGGCAACTTAATTATATTCTTGACTACAATTGCACTTAATTATAAAAATAGTGATAAGGAAAATAGATTATGAAAATTTGTGGCTCATGTAAATTTTTTAAATAGTGCCAAGTCCTCTATCTGAAGTAGACATTGGACACGTTATCCAAGTTAGCCATCTGTCTTGAAGGAGGCGGCAATACCAAAAATGAAAACATAAAATATTATTAACGATGGTAAAACTTGTAAAGATGAACCAAGTATGTATAGGTACGGTGATTTGGAACCCATGGGAAGTATTAGTTTCCTCAACATTGCAGATACATATTAATGACTCATGTTAACCAGTATGAAACCTATATCCGAGAATTCCCTATTGACTGCTTCTAATTATCCAAAATATGAAACATTTACGAGGATTGATTAATTATAATTCTACCGACACAGCATCAGTGAATTATAACTTTGTGATGAAATAAATGAAAAGTAACATTTTAATTATCATTACCATGGTTTAACTTGATAATTTCAAATAAATTGAGCATTGGGTAGATTTTATAAATAAAAGCAATATATTTGTAATATCTCAATGAGTAGAAAAATGAGATTTTCTGAAGTTTCCAAAATTTTGTTATTTGATCTCAGAAGTTGCTCACGCTGAGTCACGAAACGTTAGAAAATCTAATTTTTCTACTCATTAGAAAATTTACATTATTTATTTTGTTTAGTAAAAGCAAGATGTAACTACTGTTATTAGCAAGTGGATACTGATCATTATTGATTTACTTTGATATAAGTAATGACATAATTATCTCTTAAATCTGTAACCTTTCATAGTAAATGTTACCTCAAGAAGTCGAGTAGGACTAGGGGTTAGACGAAACATAGTTGTTTATAATTTAATGAACGATTATTATTATATCGTAAAATTCCATGGGAGTTCAGTGATATCTCAATTGTTTAAGTGGTAGATTGTAATTATGTAAAGTGAATTTAGGTATTTCAAGTATGTGTAAATATACCAGAAATTAAAGTTGATCATGTGTTTCAACGGATTAGCTGCAATCATATTAATATGCTTATCGCTTAGACAATTGCATTTTCACTAATTTCCTATAAAATTTTATGGTGTAAACCTTAATAACCTTTGAAAGATATTCCACTTTTGTCTTGTCTAGACCCTAGTTCCAACTAATTTCTGTGTTAGCATTTACCATGACAGGTTACAAATTCGAGAGATCATTATATAACTACGAATATGTATGCTGTTATAAGTCAAATTGACAACTAAATAAAGAATTGCGCTTGAAGAATAGAGTGGGGAAAACTGTCTAGTAGTTATTTTTTTGACATAATTATCCTATCGAAAACAAATCATATCTAGTAACTTATCATATTGTATGTGCTAGATTCCGTATTGATGATGAAATATTAGACGTACACCAGCTTGTTTGTCTAATAGTGTCAAATGAATGAGAAATGTTTTAAAAGATTTGCGATTGTATATATGATAGAGAGAAAGAGGTAGTGTTAGGGAAGCAGCCAGTCTGTCAACTAAATGTCGATTTATAGAATAATCTATAAGTCAATGGGTAAAAAGATGTGGAAAGTATGATCAAAAAGATACCAGGTTTATCAACTGAAAATTTTCAAACGTGTAAGCACAGACATAAAAACATAATATGTAAAGATTACATTTGAATGTGTACCATGGTCTAAGCGAAGACTTTGTGTTATATCTAAAGCCTTGATTCTTAATATGCCGCGAACTACTAGACTACTTGAACGATAGAACCCGCAACGTCGCAAAAGAAAAGACTAGTAAGTAGGAAGTTTATTTCCTCAAATCAGTGTCAAAATATAGTACAGAAATCTCGTGTATTTATAGTTTTTTTGGCTGAATGTAAATCATCATTTTGGTCAACCAATAGGCACATAGGGGTCATTCTAATCCATCCAATGGGGAAGCTACACGTCGACATTCTAGAACATTTCCCTAGCAGTGATTGAATGGAAAGTCTATGGATCTTCCTGGGCTTCTTAAGGCTTCCTAGAGTCTACCAACGAGCCGTCCTTACACTTTGTATAACGTAATATATATTTGCATAAGTGAATACACATGTTTTCGCAACATTTTCTGATACGTTTTTTAGTAAAATTTATTTCTTCTTCTGGTAGGCACTTCAAATTTTGTTTTGGTTGATCTGTTTTACGTTACATTTAAAATTCAACGACATATACAGCGGCGTACACATATGGTTCCTAAATATGTATTGAAATATGTTATAGTTGACACCTCAACATTACACATTTTACTATCAAGTATAAATAATGATTGTACTGTATTCAAAGTATGTTTTTTTACTCAAATTTCAATGTATGTAATAAATACAATTTTATAGTTGAAAAATGAATTTTCTTCGTCAAAAATTGTTACCACTTGTGAAAAATAACAATAATGGATAAACAATCAATTGTCTTTATCTGTTCAGACAATTTAAACAGTAATGCTACAATAAAAAAAACAGTTATCCAACGGAATTTTGAAATTATATGTAATATGAGTTTTATATGTTCCATTATGTTATAAGATGTAACAACCAGAAACCGATTAGAATATTGAACATCAGAAGTAATCAAATGATAGTATTGTGGTTAAAGTACTTTAGGTAGGCTAAATAAGTTAAATGAACCATAATTTAGTGATATTAATGTTATTAAATAAAAGAGGAATGTAAAAAAACATTTTATGGTGAAGCTATGCAAAAATGTATGTATCTTAATGATTGTAAAGTATATTACGGTAATATATTTCATCTCTGATTGATACTGGGTCCGTAAGGTAATGGCTAAAGTACTCAACTGTCAAACAATAAATTTCAAGTTTAAAGTCGTTCTTATCTACTTTAAATTAGACAGGAAGGTAATGTCAATAACCGTCTGGTACAATGAGTGTGGTTTGAATCTGAGTACATAAAATTATGCTTTACAAATGAGTTACACTATGTTGTTTCTGGCTAGCATGTTTTATTATTGTATAAAAATAGTTTCGGTTGTCAAAAATCACTTTATTTAAACAAACTAATCATACTTATTGACTTTTGTCTGTCAAGTAAAGAATATTTTGTGGCATATTAGTGATCTATTCGTTAGATAAAATTATTACTAAAGAATATATACGTATAAATGGTCCGTAGCGTACACGACTGTTGCAGTCATATCATATTTTTAGTCTGCTTACATGAAAATCTTTCTATTAAACTATTTGGTATTTACAATATCTTACAAGCTTACGAAATAATAATGTGGCTGGTTGATGTATTTTCTAGTCCTGTTTTCAAAATAACACACTATTATTCCTCAAGAATAGTTTATTCGCCAGGTTTACGGTATCAGATAAATTACAAAATGTTTTTAATCCATCAGGACGATTGAAATATTCATCAAGGTGGTAAAAACTAACTCACTGGTCAAATATAAAACATTATTTTCATTATATATAAATAATATATTTGTAATATCCCAATGAGTAGAAAAATTAGAAATAGCTTACACTGAGTCACGAAAATCTAATTTTTCTACTCATTGGGATATTACAAATATATTATTTATTTATAACAATCTACCCAATGCTCAATTTATTCAAAATTATCAAATTATTTTTATTGTTTATTTTGGCTACGAAAATGAAAAAAATAACAAATTCTTAAGCATAGGGTTGGTGTACATCATAGAAAGAAGAATACACATTAGTGAGTGAGAAAAATGGTTACACAGTCACTATCGAGTATGAAATTATTTGACAAAGTAAAGAAAACAATCACATTAAAAGTGGTGCTATTTTATGCATCGAAATTTGTCAGAAAATGTTTTTATGATGGCATTATGTACCCTGACATAGGTGGTTTAACATAAATTAAGCGCTGATGATGTGATTCAGAACGAAAATCGGAAGCTCCGAAATTTGACCATCTAACTGTGAGGACGTAGTACCACAGAGAACATCGATATAAGTTGTAAATTTTCTCTCTTATTTTAAAATATTAATGTATATCATTATTTCTTAACATATGAAACGAAGATTGCAACAGTAACCAAAGATGCTTCCTATAAGTCTAGCAATAAACAAGTGAGGAAAGCATCTTACTACACTTAAAAATGTCTATATAGTGTAAACCTTTTTGTTAGAGAAAATAAAAGAAAAGAAAAAAATAGTTGTAACAGAAGGTAATTCAAACTGCATTAGCAACAACATGTCAACGAACACAAATAAACATCAACAGAAATTATTTGGTTTGGAGTGAAAAATAAGTGAACAAGCTCAACCAGAGAAAGTTTACAGCTGCTCAAATAGTATGGTTTACATAATAAGAAAAAAACGGCGAAGACTACCAAAAAGAAATGCTGAACAACAAGTAGGTGCATCAACGACAATGTGAAATAAATAGATAAATAAATATGATATGTAAATAAACTTGTGAATTTTATTACAACTCTTTTGCTAGCTCAGTAATTGCAGACCTGCTTATATTTTAACAGTTGATCAACTAAATAAGTATAAATGTAAAGTATGCTCAGTTTTTAAGCGAATGGATTGTATTGAAAAAATGCATATAGCTATCATATGGATATATCAAAATAATTTAGAAACTATTGCTTAAATCTCTTCCGATATCTATTTCAATTATCAAATAAACTAGTTTATGATTATGGAATAAAAAGGCTTATAATTAATTGATTCATTTTCAAGACTAAATTATATAACTATACATATTACAATGGAAACTTAAATAAGCATAGAAATTAGTAGTTTAGATAATTTATAAAACAAATGAAACCCGATGTTAGATATTTATAACTGATCAGAAAGTAGCTACATTTGAATGATATTTTATTGTTTATTGATTAGTAAATTTCTATCCAGAAACCATATGGAAACGTATACTTTCTTAAATATTTGATAATATGATATTTAGAAGCGCTACTGTCAAGTTATTTATGTGTCGATTGAAAATGATTTAGACTTTTTTTTGTGTGCACACACACTAATCCATGGATGAGGAACAATTCTATACACAAGCCTTGATAACGGAAATTTATCGATTTGAGCTTGTATTTTTGTAATATGAAAGTTAGTTTTATTTGAATTCACTTGGTATTGTTTGTTTGAATCTTCCCATAGTTGTTTTGGACTGCAACTGGTCAGTCTCTTATTGACATATGTGCATACTGTGCGTATTGCCTCGATATTGTCTTAATTCACAAGCTTTATAAGATGGATAGTGGCTAGGACGAAACTATCGAGCAACTATCGATCTTTGCTTAGTTTTATTTGGTTTAAATCTGTCAAAAAACAATTAATTCCAGAGGGAAAAATAATCATTATGTTTTCTATCATAATAAAAGTTTTTATATTAAAGTTAAAAGTCATTTTATAATATTAAATCATTAACTTAAAAAAATAATAAAACAAGATTAACACAAACAGTTAAATGTGTTCTTTCTAACAACGTTTAATAGTTTTTTACGTCAATGTAAAGATTTTATTCTCGGTTAGCAAATTACATTTATTGACCAATGAACGGCATTTATAGACTTTTACTTAATGGATAAAATTATAAATATTTAACCTTGTATAATAGAAGTTATTAGATATTTAGGGTAAAAAGAATTAAGATTGTTATCAGTACAACGTTGTGGAGACTGTTGAGTTGTAGTTGAGATTATGGCCTACGGGTTAAGCAATTGTATGTGAGATCGTAGGTTCTGGGTTCAAATCCCACGTGCGGGATTTAGGATGCATACCAGGATGAAATGGCCTCCAGGTTTCTAACGGTGATCTAACATTGATCGGTTCATGATACCAATTAAAATAAAGATTCATTTGCACTAGTCTCAAGTTAAGGGATTTGGTTTTTTCACATATTTCAAAGTTAAAAGTATCAAATTATATTGACAGACAAATTATGAAATGATCAGTGTTGGCAGAAAGTCAACAATCTTGTATTCTTGTGAAATTAAACAAAGGATATTATGATCTTAAGATGAATGTATAGAACATTTTAACATAAGTCTAAATTGTAGAACGTGGTTTTTCACAACAGCCTGAAGTTGAATACAATGTAAATTTTAAATAATCGGACTTGAGTTTTGTTTATAACAGGTATTTATGACTAGGTTAAAGATTGTTGTCCGAGATTTCAATTAAAAATTTCGACTTCAGCAAATAAGTGATCACTTTTGAACAATATCAGCTTATTTCCCATCGATCATCAATGCATATTATAGCTGCATGTGTTGAATGATGTTACAAATACTGGCTACTAAAATTAAGCTGAATAACTGAAATTCTCATTACGTGCCTAATAGTAGAAAAGATATTTTGTTAATCGGACAACCTAAAATTATAATGTATATTATGGAAATAATGACAAAATACATATTAATCTACAGGCATGAACAAGTTGATACATTATTTGAATGAATATTTCCCACAGAGACGTGAATACTGTGAAATATAAGGTGTACGGAAAATGCCTAACCAGAAATGACAGCATTTTCAAGTACAGTATTTAAGCCCCTATGTATATAAGATATTGAAAAATGAAATATATTCGTTAGATTTTTCCGAAATAACTGGATGACATATCCATTTCACAACAATCGGTAGAATTTTTACAAATATCATTTTAATTTAATTGATGATTGCAAATCTTATTTTTCAGTATTTCAGTGAAAACAAAGTCTCATTTTGCTATCCGAACGTAGACTGTTTAACAATTACTTATAATTGGACTTGATGAAGAATGTTGTTGTAGTTCTCTGTTAAGTTCTGCTTTTTTTCCGGTAAGCCAAATAATTAATTATGATTTGAATTTCCTGAGTTAAAATTATACTTTATTTCAGAAGATGATTTCAACAGCATGCACAGTTAGATAAGTTGAACGAATTAAAAGCGAAATGATTTGCAAAACATAGTGAATTCATCATTCTATCACATCGATTCTCATTTCCGTCGAAAGTACATTTAGTCAGTAAGGTTGTGATGAATGTTTAAAATGTAATCTAAAACCGTAGTTATGAAAAGAATAAAACTAATAATTATGACTTTAAATTCCGTTTCGAACAACCATATTAACTTTACCAGCTAAATCTATTTAGATTTGAGATGAGTTACTGTAAAAATAGAATAATGAATTCATTTAATTTTGAAAATCTTGTTGTTATTGCTTTGTTTAAATTTACCAAACAGTTAGAAAATAAAACAGTTAAATCAATTAATATGATAATTTGTGCTGAATGGAACGAAAAACTACCATTTCATCGAAACGAGTAGTTAACATTTATTTAAAATAAAAATATAGTATCCTGTTGAAGCTATCTTTCACTTACTTGTCCGGTAGCTCGATCTACATAAATAATACGACCGGTAATATTTGGAGTTTGACCAGATCCTGTTAGAAATGCACAACCAGGCGGTAGTTTTAATTGTGATGGTACAGTGTTATTACCACTACCAGATGTAATTTGACCGAGTTGAACAGATTGATGTTGCATTGGCATACAAATAGCTCTTATCGATGTTAAACTGGAAGGCAAAATTGTATTGTTTGCCATGACTACATTTGGTATTGTTACTGTTGTACCGATTTGTAAATTATTTGCCTGAGATGGATTAATTTGATTAGGTGTAAATTGATTTTTAGATGAAAGTAAAAGGGAAGTATGGGCTGATGAATTTGGATCTGTGCCAATGATTGCAACGTTCATTGAACCAGTAGGTGTTACTGTAAAGAAAATTTTCTTACATTTAATTATCATTTTAAAAAAAGCAAAATGTTTTCTTGTTATGTATCTTTTTTGCCCCAGACAATTTTCAAATGTAAATAATAACTATAACAAATATGGAAGTATAGAAGACAAAGTAAGAGGATTATAGAATAATAAAGGTGACACATGTGATAGTATGTTATTGATATTTGTGACATGTTAACTTGTATTTTCTTCTCAGTCGGAAAAGAAATTGAAGAAAGATAAATATATTTCTATTAAGAAGAATGATATATTGAAATTAACCACTGTGATGGATAACGTTTATTAAATTGAATGCAATGTATTTTCTTTTAAGGTTATAAATAAAACTTAATAGGAAGATGTTTGTACGAAATAAAACAAAACCCCATGGTAATCGAACTACTTCAGATGAACCATAAATCATAGTAAATGTACTTTCTATAAAATGTTATTAGTATAAAAAGCGGTGAAAGGTGAAAACCTTAATAATTGACTTATTCATGTACTGTGTATACTCAGCTTTGAGTCATATTTTTGGTTATTTTAGATCTAAAAATACTATTCAGTTACCAAAGCTGTAGAAGATGATGTGCAGTTAAAAAAATTTGACCTATAGATTAAAAGTCAAGACTTTCAATCGCTACATTGGTTACTTTGATACTCAATCATTAATTTAATTTGCTGATTTTAGTATTAATTATCTTTACACCAGTCTTTTTAATAAAGAGTTGAGAACAGAATTCACATAATTAAACAATTATTTATATTAAAAATTTATTTATAATCAGTAAAAAGCATGCATTGACGGTATAATGACTAATCGCTACTCCCTTCTACTGAGTTACTTGAGATATAACTAAAATCAAAGGTCAGTCTAACTTTTAATTCTAAGCTCTCATAACAGTGTTTAGACAATCTGCTTCAAAAAATCCAACTAAATCTTGAATTCAGACATTAGCAACTTTGGATGTCGGCTCAGTGGTCTAGAGGTTTAGCGTTCAAGCTCGAAACAGAAGGTCCTGGGTTCGAGTCACGAGTCCGGAATTATGGGTTAGCACTGTTGATCAGTTCCATACTGGGACGAAAAGACTGTCCAGTGCTTCCACGTCTTCCATGGTGTTTTAACAGTGATCCATTTAACGTATCAATCTAAACTTAACAATCTCCAAAACCACATACCGATAAATCTTAACAGGATAATTATAGAATTTATATCATGAGAATAAATAGGGGAACCATTATGCTAACATTGTACGATTAGGCAGTATGTTAAACTATTAAATATAAACATCAATTAGAAAATTGATGAGAAGCGAAGATTTATTTTGTTCAGTAAAGATAATTGTCTTTCTTCCAAAAAGTACATCATTTGGAAAGAATCAAGGATAAATTAACGTTTGGAGCTACCTCAACATTTATTTATCAATGTACACTGTGAAATGATTTAGCATCTATGATTTTTCATCGACTATAATTATCACAACTTGAGAATGACAAAATTGTATGATAATGCAACATTCCTCTAACTTATTATTCATTATTCCGTGTGAAATGAACTACAAAGGAGAGGGTAATTATTAATTGAATTCGTTAATGAAGAAAACTTATATTGAAACTGTTCCATTTGTATTTAAGTCGATTTTATTTATATTTTAATTGCATCGCAACAAAAAACTATTTTAAACTACATTTAATATTTGATTTATTAACGATCAAATAGTCAGTTACTTTTACAATGAGCAATTTTTTTCCTTATAATAAATTTTTCTTAGATTCAGTAGCTATGTTTCTAACATACTAATAAAACAATTAACTAGTAATGGTTTGAAGTACACCGAGTTTAAATTTGAAAAATATTTGATTACACGATATATATACCTTCACAGTTAAACTTACCATTGGGTTGAGCAATTAGTATGCCCGATGCATTTTGCATTACATGTCGAGGCAATGAAGCACGCCAACCAGATTGTGGGGCTGATGAAGGCCTAGGAAGTGCTAAATTTGATACGGATAAAGGACGAAGACTGAGTTTATTTGGCCAAACAATTTGTGAAGTATAATCAGAGCTAGTGACTGGTGTAGCTGGTTTATCTTCAAGATGAGGACTGCCTGTTGGGCTAGCGGAGCCTGTAGGTGTTCCAACAGAAACAGAGCTGTTTATAGTATATGTTCCAGAGCTAGCTGTTCCTACTGTCGAAAATAAATGAGCATGCGGATCAATACCAGCTATAATTATCTGACCTGCTGCTGAACCACTTCTTCTTTGCTTTAAGATTTGAATATTTTGTGGAATTATTTGATATGATCCAACAGAACCGACAGAATTTGATTGACCACTAATAGGGGTAGCAACAGCATTAGATAAATCTGATGATAATAGATTACTTGTTAAATGAAGTCTCTGCGAAGGATCTGTCTGTGGTCGGTTGTGAAGTACAACATCCTCTCTATCGGATCGTATAGAAGGACCAAAATCAGAATGTACTGTTGGATTGCCTTGATTATCATGACAATTTCCTACTGCATTATTTTGTAATTTTAAACTACTAAGTAATATTGCTGATGTTTCAGTATTTAAAACACGACTGGTAGATGATGAACTAAAAGTAAAGGTTAAGTAAAATAAAATCTATGAGAATTAATGATTAGAATGAATTTAAAGTACAAATCAAAATAACTGTTTTTGTTCATCCGAGTAACATTTCAGATGGACTAATGACATTCTGTGAATTACATTTCCACAGGAATACAAATACGTTTAAAAAAAGAAGGAAATTTTAGATTATGAAAATATATTAAGTTGTGTGAGCTGGTTTTGCTAAAGTTGTACGAGTTATTTATACTATCTGTAGTAAGTGGTGAATACACGTTAAAAAACATGTGATCTTAACATTCTATGCTAAAAAACGAAGCGCTTTTCATGATTGATGTAGTTTATTGACACTTGGAGACTAAAAGCTGTTTGGTAAGTTTAACCAAATCACCGCTGAACAAACATTTTTTTTTGATAATTTTCTCATTTTAATAAATGAGGCTTGACAAAAAAACTAAATGTAACCGGAAAAGTTGAACATTTATGATATTTTTTCCGTATTTAATGGTGTCATAATTCTATCGAATTGAAACTTTTCGGGAAGTAAATGGTACCTACTTATACGAACAGCCAATAGGTCTCTAATTGATACTATGCATAATGTTCAAGGATAAAATAATATGTGGTTATAATAGCTTTCTTTACTTTTGGTTGTAAAAACTATCATCAGTGTATAGCAGTGGAAATTTACAAACTTATTTTCAGTTCAAGTTCCACAGGAAGCAATGAATTTTCTTCAAGAAAGCAGATAGATCTCACTGACGAGTGTTAATCAGTATAAATTCTATGTTTAGAACCTGCCAACAAACACCTAACAATAAAACATAGTCATTAAGCCCAGTGATGGATTTTAAACTTGATCAATATAATTAGATCTACATGTAGGTTTATTTAAGCATGATACCAGTTATTATACAGCGATCAATTACTATATACATATATGCATATTGTAAGGGAAAGGATATTTAGGTAATATACTGCATGCAAATGCTCAGATGAAATCATAAATTACGCTAAGATTTATGCTTTTAAGGTAAATGCAGATATATTTACAATAATCTCATTCGAAAAATATCCACATAAAAATATGTCTTATATTTCAAAAAGATTCTGAAAATTTAAATGTATGAAAAATGAATTAAATAAAGAAGAAACTGATTTTCCCTAAAATAATTCCAATTTCTTTTTAGTTTTTGATTAAAATGTTACAAGACACAGGCAAAAAAGTATACGGGTTCGGAGAAAAAAAAAGTGATTATTACAGTATTTTTCTAGTTATTTACATATATGTTTTTAGTGAAATAATGGATTAACTCATTGGAATAAAAGAGGTAAATTGAGAGAGAGGGAGAGAGAAAGAAAAAGGAAAAATGAAGAATAAGGACAAGGGAGAGAAAAGAAAAAGGTAAACCAAACCAAAGCAAAATAACACGCAAATAACTAAATTAAAGAAAGATTTGTGTCACAACACAGTTTTCTGACTAATATTCACTATTGAATAAACAAGAATATGTTTGGTTAGACAAGATAGATAGTCAAACAGATAAACTGGCAGATAGATATTAGAGAAAAAGGATAGGAAGACGAATAATGCAATGAAATACAACACTGAATTCTCATGGGAGCATATAAAACTTACGAAATAAGGAACGCAAATTATTTATATGCATTAGTATGTTTGAATAATAGATGCTAAAGAAAAAAAAGTGATCGAAGTCCTTTTCACTTAGTTTTCTTTAAAAGGTCTCGAATTATACATAACTGTAAGCAAAATGCCTGAATCTAATACTGTATGAAATGTAAATATTAAAAGAATCACGGTAGTTCATTGCCCTTATTGATTAAATAACTGCTGAAAGGTGCTTGCGACGTATTCATTCTGTGATAAATGATACAGAGGTGCGGAACGAAGATATTAAAGAAAAGTACACAATTATTTAGCTAAATAAAGATTGATTTAAATATAGTTTACTCAAGAAACGAATTTCAACCAAAAAGCACAAAATAATTATCATATTTGGTTTTCACTTTCGTAACAAAAATAAAAACCATCTTTAACAAAATTATCTTGTTTCAGAAAATGATTTCAAAATGTATTTAATTTATATTTTTGTTTTGTGATAGATATTGGAAGAATTTCATATAAATTTTCGTTAAAACGGTATGATAGTAATGGAGTAATCACGTGTATGGAAGACGTTAGATATAAACAATGTATTTCAAATAATCTAAACAACTGAAAGTTTAATAAATACGATGATTTATTCAGAAAACTGGAGTTCCCTGAAATTCTTCATGAAAATCATTAAAAGTAAAACTATTAACGACAAATAAGGTCAGAAGCCAGCCTATAAGAATGTGTTTATAGAAACAGTCTAACACTGAAACTTATCGCATCGATCTTACATTTATATGAAACATTTTGAAATAACAACATTTCACTCTATTCTGTTTTAGAATATATATACGTTGAAGTTTGACATTATACTTGAATTTATTATTTGCACTGAGGTATATAAGATAAAAATGGTTTAGTTTTTATAGATGTACCACAAAATGATAGCTGGTAAAGGTCTATAAAATTTGTAAGGTGAGTAACTAGATTTGATAAAGAATTACTTTACTGTCGAAGTGAGATAAAACACCTGATCAAATGAGCTTTACTTTGAAAATATTGAACTGTGTAGATGACCATTTAAGTTAAAACTCACAATCATTAGTGAAAACCAATAAATGTTTAAGGTTATCCCACATGTAAAACATTTCAAAGATCATAATCAAACTACATAAACTTCTGAATTCTCTGCAATCACTACTATTGGATACAAAAACACAAATAATAATAAAGTAGACGGGGGAAATAAAAGGTGCAAAACATTATAATCAAGATCATAATCAAACTACATAAACTTCTGAATTCTTTGCAATCACTATTATTGGATACAAAAACACAAATAATAAAATAGACGGGGGAAATAAAAGGTGCAAAACATGTTGAAGGAACTTCTAGAAACATTACATTAAAAAAGGCGTTCTTATTTCGCCATATTCGTTTGAATGAACACCACTCTAGCTGTAAAAAGTAGTAATTTATCTTTTTGAATGTCAATGCATGTGACTAACTATAGATGAAAATTCGACTGTATAAATATCAAAATATTGGATAGATGGAAAATAAGACAAACCTGAGCATCCTGCGATTCAGCTTAATCACTAATTAAAAGAGAGATGAAAATAGATTCAGTCTGTTAACCAGTTGGAAAGACTGAAGAATTGTAAAGTCATATCTGGTTGAGGAAGAAGATAACTAAGAGGGTAAGGTATGTAACTACTGTCAACGTAATTGTGAACGATAATCAATAGATTCTAATTTCAACAAAACACAGTATAAATCTTTCATGGAAAAATTCAAATATTTCACACCTATTTCATTCATAAACTGATGACATTGTCTTGCAAGACAATGGAAACTTCAAAATTAAACCGCTCAACACAGGGAGTACACCAAAATTTCTAAACCCTCCTACTGAATTACAGGTCTTCCTAATTATAAATGTGAGAAAAATTAGTCCTTTAACACTAATTGCAAATCATAATCTTTAATAGTGCGTAACACAAGAGATAAGTCTGTTTTCTTTTTTATGTAATATTGTCATTATATACTGACTGTTTTCTGAATACATTTAACGAGGTTGTCTACACAGCGAAATTGAATAAAATCTATTAAAATGTGATATGCGCAATTTTCCGACACGAGATTTAATGAAGGTTTAACTTATTTGAAATGAAAAGGAAGCAAATAATCAGAGGTGCTTATATTGAATATTCCCTTATTAATTTTGTCAAATACAATTGGTTTATACAAGAATTCACAATTAAATTAAGGTATAAATACTGTACCAAAATATTAGGAAAAAAACAAATCCATTCCTTTCCTGGGATGGACATGAATTTTGTAAACATGACAATTTACCATACTACAGTGTACTACCTTTATTATATCAACTAATAGCAACGGGCTTTAACATAGTATTATTAATTAACATGAAATGAAGCCAAAAAGGGAAGATTTAACCTAAACATAATTTTTTATTGTTATATCGATTGCATGAGTGCCCAGTTAATATATGAACGTTATAAGACTGCCTATTAGAGAGGAGTGAATTATTGATCAAAGCAATGATACACAAAAGCCGTATGAGCAGTCTTGAGTACTTATCAGTCCTGCTTTCTGTCTAGCCCAGCCAGTTAAGTCCAGAACACCAATAACAGCCTCTGCAATATGAATCATTATTCTCAAACATACTGGGTTTATATACCAAACAGATAGACCACATCGTACCAATAAAATAGATAAAACATTTGTACAAGATTTGGCCAAATGTAGCTGTGAATAGGGGGAACAGTAATCGATAGACGGGTTATAACTCAAGAATGGTAAATCGTACAGTAATAGTCTATAGGTCAAAATAAAGCTTATGATAAGAGGAACACGAATACGAATAGTTTAGTTACTTAACAATTATACAATAAAAATATACGTATAGTACTAGTCCAGAAATATATTTCAACAGTTACCGTTCATTAATCTCATCGGGATATAACATTTATATTACCAAAACATTTTGAATCTTAATTGCTCATTAAAAGAAATACGTTTAAGGAAACAAAATTAAGCATCAAATTTATATGTTAATGAAAGTATTTTTTTTAGTATGTAGATTTATGTAAAAGACATTCAAACAGAATAGTAGGTCAGAATAAGGGAGTATCAAGTTTTTGTTGTTAGAATTAGTCTTATTATCTAATTTTCATTAAAAAAAGCTAAGCCAAAATAATATTGAACTTCCTCACTTGACCCTAAATGTGAGTAATAATATCATCATATAATAAAACACTTTAAACATAACATTTAAATAAAATGACAAGAAAAACTGGAAAAAATTGAAAAATGTTTATGAGATTGTTGGATATTTGAATGAAACATGTAAACTTTATTAGGAAATA